TCAAACTAAAATAGTAAGGCCATTGCCGGAAATGACATTAATATTAGGTACTAACATGCAACAGATTTGCCGCCATCTTGGGTAGGAATTCTAAAATAACGACCTAATATGAAAATAGAATGCAAATACTGCTAGAGGAACATTCTGTTAGTTCTCAAACGACCCGCACTCCATAGGAAGCGGTAATAGCTCGTTGAATTTGACTGACGAACGAGTCATACGTATAGAGGGGTGCAGAATACGATATCGATAAAAAATCTGAAGATCTATCGTTCCACAATATTGAAAGTAGAATACGACTTTATAAAGCTTCGTCGAATGTCTTTATATCTTAAATATCTTTATTTTTACTTGATTAAGTCTGTATAATTCGAAACATACATTGAGGATCTTTTCCAAAAAATCTAGCTTATTTTAGCACTGTATCTGCCTAAGCTTCCTCTATAATTTTACGAATATCAAACAGAATATTTAAAACTCTCCTGCTAATCCCTGCCTCCCCTCTTGTTTGAAAAACGGTTATCGATATCTTTGGTACGTCTCTTCCCACAAATTGCCTTCCGTTCTTGGTGGAACGCAAAACTGTTTGCTCCATATTTGAATTGAATCGGTCGCGATTTCGCCACATCCCTTCTACTATACAGAATTACTCGATTGCGTTGCGACTTACCAATAATTTAATCGAATGTTCGTTGATAAATCGATTACAAATCTCTTCTATTGTATGAAAATTCCCAGCGTTCTTGTAAATGCGAAGTTGTATTGTACTGATATTCAATGCAGTTGCGACATGGATAGTTAAATAATATTTTGTTATGTTTATTTAGATAGTAAAAGGAATTTCTATGTCAATGAATAAGAATAACTCGTTTCTTTGTTGATTATGAATAAGTAGAATAGACCTGTGTCCCTATTTCTACCTATTCCTATTTCTAGCTTTTGTTAGGTGTAGGTTATTGACCTTCAAAATATATTCGGCGTATAATTTTCACATCCTTTTGCTAAACAAATTAAAGTAAACATGTTAATTATTTATTTTACCACGATAAAACTTTACCACGATATATAAAACTGAAGAATTGATGTTTAATTGTAATGAAAATACATTTCTAGCATCACGGTAAAATCTTTGAGAGGGAAACAATAAACAATCAGGATTGTCAGAATAGACAAAAAGAAGTCGCATAACACGGTAACATATCTTTGACACCGATTCAACATGTCACAGACACCTTTTCGAAACGAATTTATTCGTACTTTCTTCCAGATTTATTTAACCAAGAACAGATGTCTAGACATCCGCAAAATGTTCCAAGTTCGTTGACTCGAAATTAGCAAGATTATGAGCAAGACAAGTTCATGGACCCAGTGACATTTAGGGCGCTATTTTCGATGCACATACGCCGCCAGCTTTGTCGTATCTATCCTGATTTATGGATGGTTTACGACGAATGCAGTTATAAAACACGCACTTTGCGTTTTACTTGTTCCTTAAGAAGACAGAAATATCATTGTTGAATACAAAAATAACAAATAAACAGCAAGTATGTACATTATGACTAGAGTTCAGGCAGCCGTATTATTCACATGTCGTTGTTGTAACATTTCCTTGCAAAATAAAACACAATCTCTTTCCTAACCACCTTTCGCTGATAAATCCCACATAAAAGGGAGCGTGGCTATTGCAATAATATAGACTACGTACTACTGTATAAAGTAAAATCGAGGAAGTCTAGTCTTATTCAAATATAAGATAAATTCAACAAACCAATCATAAAGTCTGAGTTGTGATACTCTGGTTTAATCCTTATTTTAATTTATCAGATTACGAATGACAACGCCAATCATATCTATCGTGAACTTGAAAATTGAAAGTCGATTTCTTGCCATGGAAAACGGTAAGCAATCCTACTCTACATGGTATTTTATTGCAAATTATAGATTAAATTGCCTCGATGATTAGATACAGTAATTCATACTGATAAATTACGTATTATATCTGATCAGACGTCGTACTAGGGCTAATATTAGAAGTAGCTAGGTATAATTATAATAAGTGCTATAAATACAGCAAAACTATAACAAAATAGAGAATATACTCTATTTAATAGTAAATAGTGGGGTTATTTTATTCCCTTACTAATACGGAAAAGTATAACGGACTGATGACGTCACTTTTATACTTCATTTTGTACATAGTTTGACAGCCCCCTCCCTCCCTCCCCCGCTTCCGGTTACACTACTGAGTGTTGCTAGGAATTAGAATATTTTTCTACCACAAATTATGTGTATAACATATTATATATCAAGTCAACCCTATTTTTCTCCATTAACTCGTCAATAATGTTATACCAAGCAATCTTGTTAAGCCGGTATCACAGTTAACAGTTATGCCTTTAAATAGTATCTGATGAAGGGCTTAGTCCAAGATATCGCCAATTTCCGCTCCAAGATGACTATCAGCTCTTACGAATGTTTCTCTTCCTCCAAAACAAGTTTTCTTTGATGATCGTTGTATAATAATTTAATTTATAGTTCCTTATGTATTAACTTATATTTCTGGTTTTGTTGTGCAATATTCTTTATTTATGTCAACATTTATTTCTTGTTTGAGAACTGTTGCTTCTTTTAGTAGGTCGAAGATTTCTTTTTTTATTCTGTGAAGTTATGTGTCTCAAATAACTTGTTCGTTCGTAGATGTCATAAGTAAAAAACATGCATCACATTTATGTAGGTAGGTACGTACAATAACTTCTTATTTAATACAGTTTCCATTTTTCTAACTAAAATGAAATTGCCGAACTAGATATCTCAAGTTCTCAACACAGTATGGCTTTTGTCAGTCATTGATCGATCCATTTTATTAAAACGGCTGGCATAGATCCACACTATATTCAACCTTTGATTCACCAATAATTCTGTTAATCTCATTAATAAACAATAACAAAACGCGCGTTCTTTTCCAAAGGGAAGGAAAAATAGGTCACTCACTTTCAAACAGCGTTTTATTATACCCATGGAATAGAGGGCCGACTTCGTACAAACTAACTATTAGATTATTACAATATACTCCGCGTATTTGTGACATAACTTCCTAATAACACTCATATTAAGGTTCTATTTCATTGAAAATACTATGGTCGGTTGTATACGTGAATAATTTCCCTGTAATTACGAGAGAATTACATCGAAATTGGAACACGCGTTCTTTTAGAGAAAGGGTTACTCGCTTCGTCTTATTAGGTACCTACTTATTTTATTATTTTGTTCGTGTTGAATGGTCACGTGCGTAAAAAGTAAAGAGGTTTTTGTTGATAAAAATTGATGATTGAAAATTGTGAAACGTTAACGTAGGTAGGTAAACTTAGGTACCTACATGCCTACTTTTTGTATTGGAAAGCGTATAAATAGGTACTTATATAGACGCTTCGTATACAATTGTTGGTACCTAGACCTACTGACTACCTGTAGGTATTATGTAAAAACGTTGGAAGCCTTATTTTTATTTAACAAATTGGTATCTATAGTTTACCGCCGTATTTAGAAATTTTATGATTAGTTATACAATACCTACCTTATTAACGTTTTTTTCCGTAAATAATTGCTAAGTTAAGTACCTACCTAGGTAACCTAAATTACTCTGAGTAGGTACGGCGATTACACTGATAGAAAAAAGGTTACCTAAAACTCTACAATTTTACTTATTTGACAACGAGTTTACGGTAATTTTTACGTTGATTCTAAATAGATTAGATTTCCAAAACAAAGAACGATGTACAATCGTGTTTACCTATTTAATATTTTGTTTCCTTTAGTGTAGACACGCAAAGAATGTGTGAAACTTCCTTTTTTCTCCAAACATTTGTATCATATCATAAATAAACAAAAGGAAAACGTTTGTCAAGTTTTTTTCTATCTTTAATGGCAACACTCGAATTTCAAACCGTTGACAATATTTATTGATGATATTTATTTTAATGTTACGAAGTGGAATTCCGGGATTAGGTAGATTGTTTTAGACTAAATACTATTTTTTTTACGGCTGGAAAGTTATCAATTTATGTCTTTCCTTGTCCTGAGTGGAGCGAGAGGCAGTGTCAGACTCGTACTGACTAAAAGCCACTCCGTTTCTTCTCCAACTCAGGGTCGGAGCCGCAGTACATTGTCGCTCTTGCATCTGGAATCCTGGCTGAAGACCAGTTACTTATTTACCAAGACTGATTGTAGAAGCCAAATTATCTATCTATATAAAGCGTATACACTTCTTAATTATCAGTTGTAACAAAAACTATAAAACAAAAGCAAATCACCTGGCATTCGACCAGTATTAGCGATGCACATTAACCCACTAACAGATATACACTACAGACACGGACGCATAACCCGACCCACTTGCGCTTGCGCATCCTATGCCCTATACACGTAAACAGCGTATATTTTTAACGGCTCGACTATATTATCATTGTTACAAAAATTTTATTAGCAGAAAAGTGCTTAGTATCTTTGCAGCTATTCATATCAGGAAGTTTTATAAGAAAGTTAATTTTAAATACGTTATTACAATAACCCAATTCCCAATTTATGCGCTGATTGCACCTTTTAGTTTCGTTTGATCTTTATTTTTATGGCTGGCAACATCAAGTGTCATGTTATTCATACTTGGCTTGTATGTTGATTGGTCAATCGTCCCAGATTAACTCCTTTGCAGTTTGAATGGCCCGTTTAGTGTTCAATGTACTGAAACATCTTATTTAAACCGAATCTGTCCATAGCCTGTCGATCTTAATACCATTTTAAGTAAGCATGCAATCAAATATAGTCTGCCTCATTCATATCAAAAGCTGTTATTTGCAGTTGTATCTGCAAATGGAAATAATAATAATTTATTTCACTATAAAATTTTGCGGTGACTTTGTGCAAAAAAAAAATCTTTACTCTTGTAAGTTGCTTCTTATAACACAAAAAACTGTATCAAAACTAACTACGTGCATTTTCTACAGCTGTATCGGCAAGATGGTCAGCTCTCCGTGCAGCGGCGACCAGACGCGGTGGTGCTCGGCGCCTGCGCAGGGAAATGGCCGCGCTACGGGAGACACTCGACGATATATGCGAACCAGGAGACTGTGCTCCACAACCACACACCAGAGCTCAGCTACATAGAAGAATTGAGGAACTAAAGGTACATAAATAACACCCCGTCCATAATTTAGCATTTTACACTCCTATTTACCCGAAGATATTTTGTCAGTGTGTGTTAAACTTCTTACCTATACCTTGAACTTAGTCCTGGTTGTCATACAAATATGTACCTATCTGAAACCGTCGGTAGAATACATAACCAAATATCTATCACCCAGGGTTATGAAGACTAACTGTCAGTACCTACTTTTACCAATCAAAATCCGGTTTAAACTCAATACCGAATGACCATAAGCTAATTGGGAAAAACCATAACAACGAACAATATACTGATATTTCCAAAGAATTAGTTTAAGTAAAGAATTGGATTACGTCTACCACCGTACCCATAGTACGTTGGGCTTAGTTTAAGAATTTATAGTTTTACGTAAAACCAATCATGTGGAAACGTTAATCCCGCAGGAAATACTTGGATACTGTCACCTACGACTTTAAAAGCATAATATAAATGTCCACTTTAATTAATTTCAATTTCCTGAGAAATTTTATGCAGGCTATTTCTTTTCTTTCCCTCTTTCGTACAACTAAATATCTATATATTGCCTAATTGCTTAGTAACGAGGTATAAGTGAAATAAGTAATTAGTGTAATCTATTCCTTTTAAGTTTAACCGGTCCACATTACATTAGGTAGTTGGAATGGTAATTTGAATACACTATACGACAGTTTCAACATAAAGTTCTAATCATTTTATTCGGCTTTCACTACTCACAATTTACCGAATAATTACTTTTTATTTCATGAAATTTCTAATCATTTCATAGCTTTATATCTAATTTTACGTACTTAACAAACTTATTCCCTACTTGGTTTTGAAATCAAGGCAATAAAATCCACCATGACAATAAACTTAAACACAAAAGCCACTTATGATAATCTAGAATCTTATAATTTCTAAGGTTCGTGAACTTATTTCCAGGAACGACTATCCCGTCTGCTAGAATGCAAGGTATCGATGCTGAAGCTGACTGTGTCAGTACGTCGTGCACTTGGGGATATGGAGAACGATGACGGAGGACTGGCTGCTGACCTAGCATCACTGCTATCTGCATGGGATGATGCTCATCAACGGTACGTAAAAAGAGGAATGTCAAGTTTAGTACTGAAGGTAAAATCGTTATAAGGTATAACACAAACCAAGTTACTGATAGGTAAAATGAGTCAATAAAAAACCTACGCTGAACGCAAAATAAATAGTTCAGTTCAATTAAAGTAACCGAATGACTTATTTGGATATCCTTTTGAAGAATAACAAAGTTCCAAATCACTTATCTGCAAAATTCTTCAAAAATGTTCTATATACGAGTATCTTATGTCAACTGATTCATTACTGTCGCCGAAAACGACCACACCTGAATTGTAGATAAACAAAAGCTGTAACCTAGTGGAGCGTGAAACAATACCTATGTCTGGAGTGAATCATTTGAAGTCTCATTGTTAGTCACTAAGTACAATGACATTACTGCCATCCGTGTCTGGTAATTTCTGCGGGCAATCCATTAAACTCCAAAAATGTACTGTTGAATTGGATTTAACGTGAAGTATTTATTGGCAGAAATGTCTCCGAGATCTATTAGTGTTAACAGACTCACAGTTTTTTTCAATCAGAGTAAACTTAAGACAGATATTGACCAGCACGACATCAAGTAATTTGAAAATAAAATTTTGGTCTTTCTTTTTAGGACTTCAAACGAACTCTTATCTCTGGAAAAAGCGGTCTGCGCTTGGGCAGAATGGGAGAGTGCTCTCCGAGAATTGCAGGGTGCACTAAGAGGAGATCTGGCGACCTTGGAGGCATTAAGAGACCGCGGTACTGTGACTGGGGACCAAACCGAAGTTGCCGCCCAAATAAGGCAATTGGCTGCGTCACTTGTGGATAAAAAGAAGGTAAGGAGATTTTTTTTAATTAGTCGTAGGGCAAAGGGTCTTTCTTGGAAATTATTACATACATTTTAACTATAAACATGATGAACTATCGGTGTCAGAGTATAACGCCCCTAAAAAGCTTAACGTGCCCAATATTAAACTTGATATTTTGTTCCAGGGTGGTTCAACATGCGACTCATTGTCCGACTCCGGTATATCGGACGGAGACAGCGAAGGTGCTGGACGACGTGCCAGAAGGCTCAGTGCATTGCGGGAACTAGCCCGACGCCTGCAAGCTGCCCTAGCACCTAATTCGCCAGCTCAGAGAGCTATAGCAAAGGTAAATAAACAAGAAGTTAAAAGAAGAAAAAAAATTAAGGAATGACTTGTGTAATTTACATACTTCAAAACTTTGTGAAACTGAAAATAAAGTTTTTTTTAAACACTTCAGGATTGTAACGGTTAACTTCGTTTGTTTCAGCGTATGGAACAAACTGAGAACGAAGTGCGCACGTTGCAAGAATCATGCCGTGCGCTCGTAGAACTCAGCATTCCAGATCTTAAGATTGAGGAGGAAAGGTAAATTCATCAAAATTCTAACAAATTTTATATAAGTATACCTATTCAAAAGTTTTTTTAAAAATATCTTCTCTTTCTTCTACGTATTGACCTTTTACAATATCTCTATTATTTTCTTTAGCAGGGACAAAACGATTGCGGCCGTGACAAGCAGCAAGACAGGTTCAGGCGACCCTGACTACAGTCCCCGCGGAGGTTGGGTGTGGAGGGTCCTGCGGTCCTCGCTGCCCATCCAGTTGTGCCTCGTGGCCCTGCTCCTAGCCGCTTGGCTGGTCGAACGCCCACGATGCTGCGACGCCCTCAACTCCCTAGCTCAGACCCTGACTCCTCAGCTCCGCTACGTTCGCGGACCACCACCAGTCTGAACACTCATAACAAAACGTGTTCACACACATGCGACGATTTCCAGCTAGTATTAGCTTAAACCTTCGGGTTGCAGTATTCAGCACACTTTTTGTGCCACAATGCCAATTGAGGTATTCAAGGCTTCGGTACTAAGACGGTTATTGACGGTAGATAAACTAATCATCGGAAATGACGGTAGCGTGGATTGCGTGAAGCAATAATTTTTATTATTATACTAACTTTTTTTGATGAATACGTAGAAGAGAAGATTTGAAATGAATTGAGGTTTTGATTGAAGTTGTTACTAACATAGAAATGTACGTGTCAATGGATGAATTAAAAAGAAATGACGTAGGTACCTATGTTTAGGAGTAACCATTTTATAATAATTACGTTTTTATAACAACATTTTCTAGAAGAAATTGCTATTGGAATGACTAACCTTTGTAAGGTAAAATGAAATTAATTTCCTTAAATCCGTTCGCAATATTAGACATTTTTAATTGCTCATAGCAAAAAAAAGTTCAAATAGAAAAAAAAGGTGTTCCAAAAAAAAAATATCATCTGTATCAGATGAAGTTCAAAATAGGTAGTTTATATTTTAATGTAATGTACTAACATTGACAAACGTTTCTTAAGTTTGTACGTAGAGTAGAAGCATGCCTATTTTAGTACAATTATTTGATAGGTTACTTAAAATAGGTGAGAATGCGCTGTGTGACAGATATTCTACAAAAAACCTACATAACTAATATGTATCTATTTAAAAAATATACATCAGCAACTTTTTCGTAATGTAAGGCAAGTCAGATAATAGTTTTGGTGAGTTATTCTGGATTATATCTTGATAATATTATGATATACTTTGTGTATATTTAATATTTTATAATCAAAGCTTACTAGATTAAATAGTTAGCCCACAGAGCAACTTCACTAAAACGTTTTTTATTTACCTTTGACTTGATTAGGTATCTATGACTAATAATTCAAATGCATAACATCGCGAAACAGTCGCTGAATAAATAATTAAGACAACGATTAACTTCTACTTCGGAATACTTTCAGCTCTCGTTTTATGAGTTAAAGAGTGGCCTTACCTGAAGAATATTTATAAAGACTGATATAAAACTAGTGTATCAATTTATTCTGTAATAATCAACAATTGATTCAATATATACATATCTATAACATTTATTATTTTGTGTCATCTGTATTAATAAAAGTTACTATTGATGAAACGGAACATTTTACGCGGCAAAAGTGCTCCGATGAAAATATCATAGACTAAAACAAACATTGTGCTAAAAATAAAGGTGGCTAGTCACAGTGTCAGCCTCGACAACATTATCGACTGATATCACTGTCGATTAATCGATACTGTTATATTTCTCGAATAGATTTTCAAAATTATTACCTATACTTTCGTACCATAATATGATAATAATATGTGGCAGACATATCCCTTTTGCCGCCTCTCCTTTATTGTAATTTAACAAACCACTATAGAAATACACACATATTATTGCCAAGTAGGAATATTATCTAATTATAACGCTTATAAAATTATATTATTATTTTTTGTTATATTACTTAATGCAAATTATTCTCATAAACTTTATTACCTGTTCCAAATATATAATTTTGAATACCGTTGAATGAATATTATGTGCCTGATTGAATAAAATTAGAATTATTATTCATAGTTATTGATTTTTTTGTTTTATGATATTTAGTTTTAATTAAGTATGTGTAATTATTTATTGTATTGTCAATTATTTGTTGAATTATTTTAAATAATTAAGTATTTAATGTCAATTATGTCTCCCTTTTAGCCATGAACTTTATGACTTTTTATAATGCTTCGATTTAAACTTTATAATGTATTTTATGTATATGTAAAAAGTTTATACTTATTTTCAATTTTAAATCTTATTATATTATCAAGAAGTATGTGTTTAGAAAGCAAGGAAGTCTGACTTCAGTCAGCTTAGTCTTAATCAGCTCCAAATACTAATAATTTATAATGACATTGATGGTGACGTTATAAATCATGGTATCAAATTCGGAAAACTACGTTTCCTCTTCTAACAATTTAAGCTGAAAAATAACGTGCCAAGAAGCGGTTTTTTTTGTATATTCTTGGTCGAAAATATATGTTATTTCTTTCTTACATTACCGGACGAAATGATAATTTAACGAATTTCGTCAATTTCATATTTATTCAATAAACAAAAACTTCTAATCCTGAACGGTCTCTCTAATATGACATGATACATTGCATTTTATTGCTCATACTTCATTCTGAGCATAGATTTATAACAAGTCAAGAAGTCATATAAATCTATGCTTTGAGTTTTTAAATAAAAGTCTTGAATTCGATCTGAAAACTAGGGAAAATATATTATATATGAAATAAAAATAAATTACGAATTATTATTTCGTAATTAATTAATAATGTTATATTTCCACCATGTTTGTTGTGGCGTATCTATTGATGTAAAATCTTAATTTGCTTTCAATGTGTGAGCAGTCCAGGTGGGACGAATGTAAAATGCCTTAGTATGACTGTCTTGTGTGGCGCATTCTTGTAATGAATGTATAATTAGTATGTAATTAAGTACACTCTCCCTGTGGTTTGAGTAGAAAACTTTTTCGTATTTTATAATTTTATCCTACCAAATTAGTAGGACTTCAAAATTTTATTTTATTTTTAAAAAACCACAGCGAAAGTACTTCAAACATTCTATAATTTTCCTTATAAGGCAGTCAATGCCCCTAGTAGTGTGTCATATTTCTTTTAATTTTTATATTTTAGTGTTTAACTAGATAATTGGAAGAAAATAGACATGCTATGGAAATGCATTTAATTTTTTTCTTTCTTTGGAAGGATTTGTGAACGTGTAATAAATAGATTGCATTATGGTATGTTGGCTTTTGGAATGGAAATAAAAATTTGAATTTTATTAAATTGTTTTATTTGCATTTATCTGGGTGAAATTCTGTGAAATATTATTATAAATCCGAGGGGTTTTGACAATCAAAGAAAAAAAACCATAAGACCACTACAGATGGGTCCAACAGGGCTGATTTTTAGCCAGGTTGCGATTCAAGCTGAATAATGTACTTACCACGATCTCAGTCTGGAGCGGAAGAAAGAACGGAGTGGTTTTTGTCAGTAGGAGTCTGACACTTTCTCGCCGCACCCAAGGCGAAAGAACTTTTTCCCAATTGAAGGTTTTCCCAAATCAATAATAAGAAAAGCACTGTGTAGCGGCACTATCACGTCGCTACATTACTTAGATACGATAGAGATAAGACATACATGTTAATTGTTGCACGTTTGTTAGGATAGCTAAATCTGAAAATCTCACGCATCTTCTTAGTATATAAGCACCAGCAATTAAAGTAATAAACAGACCTTAACCATCTACAGTCTCATTATTTACCTTGCCACGAAGTCTGGCAAATTGGTGACCCCGACGAAGAACAATCAACATGACTCATTCACCCTGCAAATCAAGCAGCAGCCAACAAGAAGCCTTGGAGATATCAGCCGGAACCGCCATTTTATCCCGTATTCCGGAATTTTGGAGGGACCAACCCAGATTATGGTTTAAGCAACTAGAAGCCATAGTAGCACCACAGAAGCAAGGAGACGATTACAAGTACTATACGGTCATTGCAAAACTGCCAAAAGAAGAAATAATACAGGTTAGTGACCTCATTACTTGCCCACCGCCAATAGAAAAGTACAAGGCTATCAAAGAACGCCTAATCAGTTGCTATGAGGAATCAGACCAACGTCAGCTCCAAAAATTATTGTCTGAAATGGATCTCGGCGACCAGAAACCATCACATCTTCTGCGCAAGATGCGGACCCTGAGTAACGGAAATATCAGCGACGAAACCATCAAACTTCTATGGTTGAGGCTTCTGCCACCATCAGTGACTTCGGTTCTAGCAGTCACAGAAGACATAGATGTGAACAAGATGAGCCAGATCGCGGACAAGATATTAATAAATTCAACACGTACAGAGGTGTCAGCTGTAAACGGAAACAAATCTGGCGACGATACAATGTCATGCATACTAGCACAGTTAGCAGAAATGCAATTGGAACTAAATGCAATTCAACAAGGTCAAAAAAACTATCGACGCAGCACTCAAAGTTATTCCAATCGTCGGCATTTCCTACCACAGTCGAGTTCAAGAGAAAGAAGGCACTTTTGTTTTTACCATGGAAGATTTAAAAAATATGCACAAAAGTGTGTTCAACCTTGTGATTGGAAACAGGATCTCAACTCAAGGAAACAGGGAAACTAATTGAAGCACGGACAACGGCGGAACTCTGTGCTATTCACCCGTCCAACCGCCTCACTATTACCGACCGAAAAAGTGGTATGAGATTTTTGATTGACACGGGAGCAAATATTTCAGTTATTAGCAAGCCACAGAGACATTCACTAATACAAGATGAACAATGTATACTTTATGCCGCCAATGGTACAAAAATTAAGACATATGGTGAAAAAACACTCTCTTTAAACTTCGGGCTACGAAGAAACTTTGTATGGAACTTTGTCATCGCCGATGTAACACAACCGATTATTGGAGCAGATTTTTTAGAGCATTATAAGCTATTAGTCGATATAGCTGGTCGAAAACTCATAGATAGGGTAACTGAGCTGACAACGCCCGCAACCCTGATCAAATCGACGCAGCAAACAATCCGCACTATTAACATTGAGACGAATCCACGCATTACTCAACTATTAAATGAATACGAGGATATTACGAAACCAGCCTCCCTCCACACTACTCCAAAACACAAGATTAAGCATCATATTATCACTAAAGGACCACCGGTATCAGCACGTGCAAGACCATTACCTCCTGATAAATATCATATAGCAAAGAAAGAATTTCAGACTATGATGGAGCTTGGCATTTGTCGCCCTTCGGACAGCCCATGGGCTAGTCCTTTGCACATGGTTAAGAAAAAGAACGGTGAATGGAGACCATGTGGAGATTATAGAATGCTCAATAGCGTGACTGTACCGGACAAATATCCACTTCCACGACTAACTGATTTCACTTACATACTAGAAGGGAAGCAAATCTTTTCCAAAATTGATATTCGAAAGGCGTACCACTGCATTCCTGTAGAAAATGTGGAAAAAACTGCTATTATCACTCCTTTTGGACTTTTCGAATTTCCAAAAATGCCTTTCGGTTTACGTAATGCGGCGCAAACATTCCAACGATTCATGGACTCGCTATTCAGGGATTTGGATTTCGTATTCATATTCGTCGACGATTGTCTTATAGCATCTGAAAACGAGGCTCTACATTATCAACATTTGGATACGGTTTTCAAACGTTTACATGAAAATGGATTAACAATTAATCTCGAAAAATGTGACTTTCTTAAGAGTGAAATAGATTTTCTGGGTTATCATACAACACGTCGAGGAATACGACCAACGGAGGAAAAGTACAAAGCAATTATGGAATTTCCTAAACCTACGACAATCAAGGAGCTAAGAAGATTTTTAGGAATTATCAACTTTTACAGAAACAATCTCCCTCATGCCGCTGAATATCAAACTATCTTAAACAACTACCTGCACGACTCTAAAAAGAATGATAATTCTCCAATTTCTTGGACAACAGAGGCCGAAAAAGCTTTTGATAAATGCAAGGAAAATATAATGAACGCAGTATTAACAGTTCACCCCTCTCGCACCGCCCCTTTGGCACTTATGACGGACGCCAGTTCGACCTGTGTTGGCGCAGTTCTGCAGCAGAAGTCAGGACGTAATTGGGAACCATTAGGATTCTTTTCAAAGAAATTAAGTGATACTCAACAAAAATACTCGACATTCGACAGAGAGTTGCTCGGAATATATATGGCAGTCAAACATTTTCAAAGGTTAGTCGAAGGAAGAGAATTTACTATCTTTACAGATCATCGACCTTTGACTTACGCATTTTCCCAAAAACCGTCATCTAATGATACGCCACGGCGAATACGACAACTGGATTTTATTTCACAATATTGTACCAACATTCAACATATAGAAGGACGTGACAATATTGTAGCAGACGCATTGTCACGGATAGAACAAATTGATGTGCCATCACCGATTAATTATGCTGATTTAGCAAGATGTCAGCATGATGACCAAGAATTATTACGACTTCGTAATAACAAGAATTTAAAATTTTCAAATATCAAGGTTCCGGGTTCTACTGAAGTCATCGCCTGTGACATATCTACAGGAAAAAATCGCCCCTATTTACCAGAAAAATTTCGGAGACAAATTTTTAATGTCATGCATGGACTGAGTCATCCTGGGAAGAGAGCTACTAGGAAAATGATAACTCAAAGATATTTATGGACAAGTATGAATAAAGATATAAATGAATGGTGTAAATCGTGCCTAGCTTGTCAAAAATCAAAAGTGCAACGCCACACTATATCACCTGTCGGGAACTTTATGCCATCTCAACGTTTTGAACATCTACACATCGATATTGTTGGACCGTTACCTGTTTCTCAAGGAAAGCGATATTTAATTACAATGATAGATCGTTGTACTTCTTGGCCGGAAGTATTTCCCGTTAAAGATATCACAGCCGAAACAGTAGCGCGCATACTGTATGAGGGATGGATAGCAAGATTCGGATGCCCATTACGCATTACTACGGATCAAGGTCGACAATTTGAATCAAGAATATTTGAATCACTTTCACAATTTTTAGGAGTACACAAAATTAGAACAACGCCTTATCACCCACAATCAAATGGAATGATAGAGAGATTTCATAGAACTTTAAAAGCGGCGCTAATATCAAGAGAATCTAATGCTAATTGGATGAACGAAATTGCTTCAGTTCTACTTGGATTACGAAGTTGTGTACGCGAGGACACAGGATATAGTGCAGCAGAGATGATATATGGCGCACCTATAAGGCTTCCCGGAGAATTTTTTGAATCGTCACAGCCTTCGACATACGAAGAATTTGTCACAAATATACAAAAGGACATTTCTCGTATGACATCAACATCAAAACGCAAGAAAATTAAACAAACAGTTTTCATTCACCCCGAGCTCCACAAATGCTCACATGTATTCGTGCGCTGTGACAGAATAAGGAAAAGTTTAACACCACCATACGAAGGACCATTTCTAGTGACAAAGAGGATAGATAAGACGTTTATCATTAAAATTGGGGACAATGAAAAAGCAATATCTATAGACCGATTAAAACCTGCATTTGTCTTCAATAGTGGAACGAACGTGCCAAATTCAGAAAATAATCACAACGGGCGGAACACGTACATCACGAAGTCAGGACGGGCGGTTAAGCCGACAGTACGATTCGTCACTTGCTGACACAAGTAATCAGTCCATTTAAATACTCACCGTATTTTGAAAATACCATCATATACCGTCAGTATCTACGAGAGAACAATGGGCAACCAAAGCTCCAAAGATCAAATCGTATATAACTCCGACAGTTGCCTTAATCAAAATGAAGCCGACCATCTCAAAAGTCTTGTCCTGGAAGAGCTACGGTGGACGAGAAACATTGCAATTGGACAAATCCTCATCACAATTGGCATCCTTCTTCTCTACGGAATACTGAAGACCTTAGACAGAAGAGTGAAAACAATAGCAAGAAACAATCAGCACAAATGCAGTGGATAGTTCATCGACTGCCGCCGCCGTCACAACAAAGGCAGCAGTTTTTATTTCCTTCGAATTAGCAACAATGACATTACATTACGCATAGGATGTAATTTATCAGCAAGGTTAAGTTATTATATAATTAGGTACATACTATTTTTTTTCAATTTATATGTTAATTATTTTTAAAAGGGGGGAGTATATGTAGCGGCACTATCACGTCGCTACATTACTTAGATACGATAGAGATAAGACATACATGTTAATTGTTGCACGTTTGTTAGGATAGCTAAATCTGAAAATCTCACGCATCTTCTTAGTATATAAGCACCAGCAATTAAAGTAATAAACAGACCTTAACCATCTACAGTCTCATTATTTACCTTGCCACGAAGTCTGGCAAACACTGCAATATCGATGGGATTCTATACGACATCAATGAGACTGTAGTACAACTAGATTTGATGTGATACAACGAGATGAGAACAAGTGTGGGAGAGCCAAGCTTCGACACGAATGAGTCCGAGAGTGAGTCCGGAGTGATACCACGGCCTCACAGAATACCGACGTGAAGCAACCACAGCGTTGTGTTTCGCCGTGTGAGTGAGGTTACCGGAGGCCCAATCCTTCCCCTCCCCCGATCCCTCACAATCCCTAAATCTCCAAAACCCTAATCCCTAAAAGGTCGGCAACGCACTCGTAACTCCTCCATTGCGGATGTCCATGGGCGGCGTTGATTACTTACCATCAGGTAATCCGTCTGCTCGTTTGCCGACCTATTACAAAAAAAAAAGATTTGTATATTCTAGATTTATCAGTCTACAAGTACCTACTGTATTCTTCAAATTTATTAGTCGTATATGTAATAACAGCGTTTAAATTATTTTTGGTTATTGATCAATCAACAAACCTTTACAACTGGCAACACATCTACTTCCGCCTAGTGAAGTGCATAAAGGCAAAACAAAAATTAAATAAATAGTTAAATTGTGATAATTTCTGTTCTACATTCGAACAAAAGGATTTCGAACATTTAGGACGACCATTTAGGATAGATCTAGGTATGGATGTCACAACATTGTAATAAGTATTTCTTATTTTATTTTTGTAATTAGTAAGTATATTTCATTATTTCAATGAGCGAACATTACTAATGACTGTAATAAGCTAAAAAGGATCGATGAGTGCCTACGTCACAAATGACTTAAAATTACTACCTGGCAGTTTTATGTCATTTATAACAAAATCTTATTAAATAATTAATAAATGAATACTTGTACATTATTAAATTGTACATTTTAATTAATGAATCGATTTTGTAATCGATTATAGTGAGCTATCGGTAAGACATCGTTATCGCTGTCGCCGTGCCATTACTCACTCACTTCACTACGAGCGGGCAGCGACGGCGACTACGAACGAGGTCTCTTCCGGTGTCCGTGTTGTTAGTAGCGCACGTGTCAAAAGTGTAACAAAATTGAATTGAAAGCTAAATGTTATTGAATGGAGAATTGTAGTGTTTAAAAGTAAACCAACTTCTTATTCTTGAACTTGCTGAGTACGGCATATCACTAAACAAGGTAAATATGATCATATTTCCTACTTTTATTGTGCCCGGGTCAAGCCGCCATATTGATTAGTTGCAAGACGCGGGGGATTGCGGCTCTTGACTGTGCTTATTTTTATTTATATATTTGTGTTCTGTCGGTGTGTTTACTTTTGAATATAAACTAAAAAGACACAATTCCGATAAATAGTAAGTGATTTTAACCTTTTTTCCGTTAACTATCACAAAATCAACGATGTTTTGATTTGTCAGAGGTGTACTCTAATCTGAATGGTCCACGTATAATCGTTAAATCGATAAAAATCACCACGGCTTCAATTTTAAGCTTGAGTAAGTGGAGGAGCGACAATTTATAGGTTTCATATCGGTATATTATTAAAATTACATTCGATATCTATAAATTTAACCAATTCGTAAATCCCACGCGGGAAAACGCAAAACTACCACGCGCATGGCGCGGTAGTGCGTTTGCCAAACTATATTCGCGTTGATCGCGTTCTACATATAGATTTAGCTCAAAAGTAGTTAATCTGCGTTGCATAACCTAGAAAAATACCATAAAAGCATTTATTTATTCGTTTACAGGGAAAATGGTGGGGTCACGTGTCTATGTCGGCGGTCTGCCGTTCGGCGTCCGAGACAGGGACCTGGAGAAGTTCTTCAAAGGTTTTGGCAGAATCAGGGATATCCTTATCAAGAATGGATATGGATTTGTGGTAAGTTCAAGATTCTTATTTATGTTTACATGTTAAGTAACAGTCTTGATAAATTTCTTACTATGCATGACAACACGCATTTAACTTCTAGAACAATCTAAGTATTGTAAAGTTGCTGTTGCTGGCCATAAAATGTATACAAACTAATATTAATGACTGTGACAGTTTGAAATGTTTTTTCTCTAATAATAGTTTTAGCAAATTTCAATACATGTTTGACTATTACATATGCATTGTAAGTTGCAAATCTAAATTGATACAATCCTCCCTTACACATTTTCTTTTTATTTTGTGCTTCTCTGACAAAGTTTGGATAGCCCTTTTGTACCTACTATAACATAAAAATGATCCCCCATATACCTAAGTTTATCAATTAATTATAAAGGTGGCGAGACATCCCTTAATTAAACCAGTAATCAGTAACAATATCTATACATTCCACCAACTGTTTGGTGATTAAACTGTGAGCCCTGTGAGAATCAAATATGAGATTGCAAATTTCTTGGTACAGTAGCATTCCGATTAACTTGAACCATCCTTAGAGCTGCAATATTTATCATCCTACCAAGCCTCCTGCTCAGATATTACAAAATTTTGTACGCAAATGGGGCTTTGGGCTGTTGACAATCATACACAATCCGCATTAATTTGATATTTTACAGGAATTTGAGGATTATCGAGATGCAGATGATGCAGTTTATGAACTTAACGGAAAAGAACTACTAGGAGAAAGGTAAGAACTTACCGACACCATCTGGTTTATTTTATGAAAACATATAAGATTAGCTACTTAAAATATGGAAATTTCGAAAGCCTTTTATATAAAAATAGTTAGAAGAAAAATGTGTTTCTATTCATCAACCTCTTGAAAGTACCAAATTATTGTTGTATCTTATTATATTTGAACCATATTGCCAATTCCAATATTATATAGCATGTAAATGCTTGAAGTAAAAGTCTTTAAGTTACCTTGAATCAAGTAGAATAGTTTTTTATTTTAATTTGTATTATTTTCAATTTAATAATTAATTTCTTTTATCAGCCGGCTCCACATATTTGTGTGTATGCATGGAGAACTGATATTTTGATCATGGATGGAAGTAAGAGATTTGTATGAAATCAATGTTGCATTCATTCATATTTTATTATCTTTTTTTAATTTATTTCAATTACTTACAACTGTTATTAAAAATTTCCAAATTGAGGATTAAGTTGAATCATGATAGTTGAAATACTGGTGGGCTGCCTTTACGCCATTTTAAAAATCTGTTTACCAATCTGGTATAAGTATATTACATAATAATAAGGTCATTTATGAAAAATAAATTATTCTAAATTGTTTTAATTATTATGTCATTAGAGACTGCCAAACTAATTTATTGTTTTGTAATTGGTTAACTTCTGTTTTCAGGTCATATTAATACTCATTTATTTTCAATATTGATGTATTACAATTCAAAATTATTGCATTAATTTGTTATCAATTTTGAAATTGATTTGGCTTGGGTTCGAGTCCCTTGTTTGAGCTGGTTACCAATTGGTAAGCTGTAAAGTTGACGATGGTGTGCACGGTATGAGTGCAAGGCTAGGGGTGGGCAGTGCTAACAGTAGATCGTGGGTGTGCCGCAGGGTGGTGGTGGAGCCGGCCAGGGGCATCGACCGCAGCGCCGACCGTTACCGGCGCGACCGCTACTACGAGCGCGACCGCGGCCGGTCGCGATACGAGTGAGTGTCGCTATGTTGTAGGGTGTCGGTGGAGAGGGCTCGCGGCATGCCGCGGGGCTCGGACCGCTGGCGCTGCCGGGATCTGCCGCCGCCGCCGCCGCGACGCCCGCCGCCGAGACGTGAACCGTCTGTATTGCGAACACGGGCATGATATGCAACAACACACATGGGCGTAGCCAGGCTTTCTTTTCCATCCCCTTAACAGCCTCGACATAGGATGTAATAAAAGAAAGGTAATGCCCGTATTAGTCACTCCAGTGAATCGGGTTGGTGGTTGGACAGTATGTTCCTGAAATCTAATCCTAGCTGCGCCCATAAAACATTTCCCCTCTCGCCTTCTAGTCCTCTTATGGACTCTACCCAGAATATTTTAAGGGATTGTATTGTTGCTTGCATAATTTGTAAAATATTGACCCCTTACAAAGTTTTCGCAATCTTATCTCTTCACAGATTAATCTAAAATTTTCAGAAAACAATTTCCGATATCATCCTCGTTTTGCTAACCACTATATCTGCATGCTCAGGCATTTCTAGTACTTAAATTCTTTGCTGTATGGCCCAATCCAAACACACTCTATTTTACATATACCATTGTTCTATGCATTTTTTTGTTTTTGCATAACAGCCCAGTGTTTTTAGTTAAGTTTTGCATATTTTTGTCGCTCATTATTTCAGTTTTGATAAGTAGGCACACTACACTTTGCAGTTTCGACACAGATTTAGTTATTTGCGCTAAATATTTTAGCAAGTAATTTAGTAACTGCTGTAGAAGTAGATGGAGAGTATACACTCCCATTGTATTTAAATACAACAAAATCTCCAAGAATTAACACGTGATTTTATCATATAATTTACCCACTAGTTAGTTGTGATTAGTCTTTTAATAAAGGCACAAATTATATAACACACATATTGTCTAGTTTTGTTGTTCGTTTTAATAATACTTGTCTTAATATTTGTAATTCCAGCCCTTTTCTGTAAGTACTACCACAACATTGCCATATCAAATTTGATATCATTTAAAAGTAGACATAGATAACGATGATAGTTTTATCAGTTTGATATTGATGTATTGCACATGCAAGCAATTGCTTACTACTTCGTTTTTACGTAAAATCCCTTAATTGGCTCAAATGCATTTTTAAATATTTATCTCGAATAAATAACAAAAGTCATTATGTTTAAACCATATTTATTTTCTAAATCCCCACCATTTTCATACAGAAAAAAAAAATCCTGAATTCTGAAATTCCTGTTTTCTGAATATAAAAATAATAGTGACTTTTCTGTTTACAGTGACTACAGTTACAGATACGGGCCGCCGACGCGCACCGAGTATCGACTAGTCGTCGAAAATCTGTCTAGCCGCATTAGCTGGCAGGTAAGAAATCGAGCCGGGACACCATTGGGCCCATCATCATTCCATCACCTATCACCCAGGGTCCTGGACATCTTCACTTTTACTTGAGGGCTGGGCGGCCTGCGTCACCTGGACAGACGTACCTTAAGTCGCGAACAGAAGGAATCTAAGCATCATAAGGGAATCACCGCATGGACAGGACAAAACAACCAATGCTGCTTACTGATGACCTAGAGGATAATCCAGTGAACGCCAGAAAAAACTCATGGACGAAGAATTCAGATGACACTTTAAATAAATGAGTAAACGTAATAATCACACTGAACACAGCCTGGACTGATGACAAGATGAATGTAATCCAAACAATCAACGGCCAAGGATACGGAATTATCGTCGGACCACCTTCACTGCCTCGAGAACTCCACACCACCCTATTTGCTTTACTAATATAAAACATAAAAAATACAAAATAATTTATCTGATAGTAACATCATCATAACTTTAGCTTAACACAACATACTTTGAAACTCTCAAACTTAGCACTGTGCATAACATTCATTACCCTAAAAACAGTATTTTTTATACAAGTGTTATACCAAACTTACTTACGAGCTTTATAGATAATTTTTAAAAACAACAGAAGGTGGCGTATCGTGGCCAGAGTCCTCGATGTAGCGCTGTGTGCGATGTGGTCTGAGGCGATGTTAGGATCGGTCACGGCGCGCTGGTGATGTGATGACGCCCCCCCAACCCCGCCCGCCCCTCCAGCCGGACGAGCCCCCGGTGGCCCCCGACAAGGTAAAGTCGATAGGGGGGCACAGACAACAGGAGCCGTTTCTCGTTATGTGCAATCTCCCATTTTAAATTCATTATTTCATTGTTAACTTTAAGTTTAAACATCCTCTGTTCGCAATAGTGAAGTTCTATACAATAGTCTCCTCACTATTGTGAATTGCCATGCAGATCATGTCGTTCGTATGTCAATTTTATTTCTTTTTCGGCTTTAACAGCTTTTCGTATACGACAACAAACGGTATCATTGTTTACGCGGACCAATTCGTGCTGGGGAAGAGCACCGATACTGAAGCAGCACCGAAAGGCGTGGACGGAAATGCTCATGCTTGGACGCGAAGCAGATGCAGATGTGGTTTCCTAGAGGATAATGTTAACGCGAAGTCCTGATGACCTGTTGCAGACATCGTCAAAAAGTAGTAATGGCAAAGAATATATTTTACTTGAAAGTTGAGAGAAAGATATACCAGAATCGATGCACTTCAATGATTGCAGAATTATATAACTTGGTCGAGACTATACAAAAAAAGTGTCAATATAAAGGTAAACCTGGAGAAATGTGGCAAAATCAAGAAAGCATTTTAGTTTGAGAATCACATGAAAGAGAAAGCGAGAGACTGGACAACCAATGGACTGGAAAACCCACACCATTGGAGTAGTCATTGGCGACAAAGGAGTTATATGGAGGTTGAGGACAGTTGAATATATCGTAAACAATGATAGCTGTTGAAAAACGCGTACGAAAACACCGTTACAAGCATATCTAGCGTTTCATCTTTTTATTTCGTTAGGATACTTGCTCGCAAAGCTGTATAACCGACATAGTATATAAAGGTTAGGTCCACTGTCACATAACCAAAAACTTTTGCAAAAGTCATGATGAGATCGTATTTTTACCATCTTTCGGGGCTGAAAACCTTGATGATAACTTTTAATTCTGATGATTATTTTTGCAAAAGTTGCTTTGTAACTGTATTAGGTATTTTGCTAACATACTTTATTGTTTTACAGGACTTGAAGGATTACATGCGTCAAGCTGGTGAAGTCACTTATGCTGACGCACACAAGCAGCATAGGAACGAAGGGTGAGTGACTGTTTTATTTAGGAGCTGTTTATAATAAGGTTAGAAGACACTTTAATGATGATACTATATCATTTACCATCTTTCGGGGCTGATAGCTCTTGATGATAGAAGTCTAACTGAGGATATATATAATACCTAACATGATTTCCTAGTTCTCGACTTGTTTAGTAATTTATATGAATCGTTACAGTGTGGTGGAGTTTGCTACCCACTCTGATATGCGCGCGGCTATTGAGAAGCTGGATGGAACAGAACTGAATGGGCGACGTATCCGTCTGATTGAGGCTAGACGTGGCTCCCGTCGCCGCACTCGCTCCTCATCGAGCCGAAGTCGATCTCGGTCCAGGGATCGCAGACGCAGCCGATCCAGGTAAAATATTACTCTTTTTATTTGAAGTAAATAATAATTTGTGATCAATAACAATGTAATGATGATACTATATCATTTACCATCTTTCGGGGCTGAAAGCTCTTGCTGATAAAATTCTAACTGAAGAAACATACAACACATTCTCTTTACTCAAGTATTGTATGTGTATACTAAAAGCTGTTATACATTTTCCAGGTCTCGCTCCCGTCGCTCCTCCCGTAGCCGCTCCCGCTCCAAATCTAGGCCAAAGAGCAAGAGCCCCGTTGTCAAGTCCCGCAGCAGATCCCGATCCAAGTGAGTATCAACTAGAATGCCCATGTCGCGTCCCTGCTATGTAAATAATTTGATAAATTAAGCTTTTTAGACAAATTGCAGTTATTCAAGCTTAGTCCATTATCATTTAGAAATCAAGTTCTTATGGTAGTTATATGATTTGCTATCATTTACATCTAGATGCATAATCATTTTAAATATAGTGTTCTGTTAAAATTCTAAGCCTTTTTTACTACATATATAGTAAACTGACTGTCACCAAGAGTCCAAATATTTTGCATAGCAGGGCTCCTATTGATTTTGTAAAATCATGTACGAAATATTCAAATAAGGCCATAAGCCAAAATTGTATGCAATATTTCTGACCATTCATGAGCTGATAGACAACTGCGAAAATTATATTAAACACAAGAGAGGTGTTAATGTCGGCTTTTATGGTATTATACACTAATAACTACCTAAGTCTGCTGTTTTCTAAACTGACTGCATTCCCCTTGAATTCTATATAAATTAAAGCTTGCATGTAAACATCTCTTATCTCCTCTCTCTCTCTCAAATGATCCACCAGTAAATACAACCAAAAATAAAAAGAATGCATGAATATGTATACAAATTAATCTAGTATTCATTTGGCTAGGTGTGTTATAACTTGCGCTGAGCAAAATTTAAAACTGTAAGTACTTAGCCAATAGTACTTTACCTTTGTAGATAGTAATTTTATAACACTAAACGTGATGCAACGACTTGCGTACTTGCCTCACGTCATACTGTGTTCAGTTAGAGTTGGTCTGTCATCATTGATCGCCTAAATATAATCTTTAATTTATTTTGCGTGGGTGGATGTGGATGATGACTGTTCAACTCTAGTATCACTTTTAGTAGAGGACGTAACTAAACCCAGCTATTACTACCATTTTCTGGCGTTCGATTTCGGCGTCGATTAGGGATCGCAGTCGTTCGAAGTCGCGGTCACGCTCGGAGTCCCGTAGATCTGAACGTCGGTCGGAGTCCCGTAGATCTGAACGTCGGTCGGCCTCCCGTAGGTCTGACCGCCGCTCGGCGTCGCCACGGCCCTCCGCAGAGAGAAACGGCGGGAAGTCAGCCTCCAGGTCCAAGTCCCGATCACCGAAAGCTGCTTCCAAGTAAGTCCATTTAATGTGTGCTCTCAATCAAGTCTGACGGTTGTGCAATTTCTGTGAGGTTATTTTTCTTTGCCGACATGTTTGATGGTTAAGTTGTTGTAACAAATATTATTATTCATTAAGATTTATGGTAAAGACACACGTTGACACGCTGTGCTCTTTATTTGTTATATTTTACTTAAATTTGAGAACATTATTTATAATTTTGAAATATAATCTCACACTAACTTCCAAAAGCATTATTGTCAGATCAGTCAGTCCCCTGAACCCATTGGCATTCACATATTAACAAAATTCATTCAATGTTATTAATATTGATTGCACATTATACATACATATTAACTCGATCCATGTTTTCCCGCATCACGAAGAGAAGCCGTTCCAAGGTGAGCATTTGATGTTGACTAACAAGCTATTTGCTGTTAATCATGTAGTTAACACCTTTCGTTTCCTCATCGCTTCAGGATTGTATACCTTGCATACCTAATTTAGTTTTAAAGATGAATTTGTTACCTGTTGATTTGCTATCTACTGATCAGCATCACCTCACCATCTTTATTTACACCTTTATATCATTTCTGTATATAAATATTACTAAGAGCTTTTAAAACTTTGTTTACTTTCATGTAATGCACAGATATCAAAAAGTCAGATTTGTATTTAAAAAGTAAACACATAGTTACTTGTGAACATATTACAATAATGTATAACATCGACAGGGAAAGGTCTCGCTCTCGCAGCAAGGAGGCGTCGCCGAAGCGTGAGGAAGAACGTCGCCCGAGCAAGTCTCAGTCTCGCTCCCGCTCCCGCTCTCGGTCCAGGTCCCGCGACCGCTCCGCTTCTCGCGATCACTCCGCCTCTCGGTCGCGCTCAGGTTCGCCGCGACAGAATGGTGAAGCGCAAGACCGCGCAAGTACAGATAGGTCGCCTCGTAGTGGTGACTAGACAGACCCTAGTTGTAAGCTGCATAGATTTATTTGTTTATAGTTTTAACAAATTCGTGACCTCAACTATAGTAACAATATTGTTCTTAGTTTTGACTCTTAGCATCCATATCAATATTAAAATCAAACTAGTTTTCACTACTTGTAGTAGCACTTTATATAAATATATAGATAAGATATCTTTTTGTATTTAATCCGAAATTTTTCATGAAAGTTGGGTGTAACACCCAATCTGTTAAACATTTTAAATAATAGAATATCTAGAAATTGTTGTATAAGTACCTATACAATTAATTTGGTATCATGAATCTGATCTCCATCAGCTTAAAAGTACAATGTTTCACTATCCTTAACATAATTTAGCATTTGGCAATGCTTTGTTGAAGTCACGATGGTTGAATATAAGATTCTTATAATGTGCACCGTGTTTGATATTTTTTGTCTCACACGGGTGATAGATGTCTTTGTCTATACATAGGTTAGTTAAGATCGCTTTACGGGCTAGTGGGCAAATAGATACTTATATTATTTAAGTAATAAATTCTACTGAATCCCTTGACTGTAATAATTTAATTTTGTTAATTGTGTTAAAGTGATGTATAATTTTTATTTTCTGTGAGTCATTTGATGCATTTTTGTCGAAAGATAGTGGTGTCGAGTATTTGCCCATACTTTAAGTGAAAGTAACAAAATTTGACGAAATTTTATAATTACCTATTTTTTGGTAAAAGATGTAACAACATAAGATTTAACTCTACATCTTTAAGACAATTCTACTTGGTAGGCTAATTTTGTAAATAGTATATTTGTTACTAATAACCAAATAATAAATAAGGCTGTACCGATATTTTTTAGTTTTATTTCAATTTTTCCTCCCATAAAGTATGCATCGTCTGCGTTTTAAGCTCGACAGCTGTTTGCATAATTATATCAATCAGATGAATGTGTTCAATAAATATATATATTAACACAGGAGTCCATAAAATAATTTTTAACAAAAAAAAACCGACTTCAAAAGTAAACTAAAAAGCAAAAAATAAATTTACTTTGTTCAAAGTAATAACACTTTCATTTAGTTAAATAGAAAATAATATTTAGTAACTATTTTATAATCTTAAAGTCGGTGCCAAGTAAAACTATAACAGTGTAAAGATATTACTTACACACCTCTTGCTAATTTGATGATTAGTAGGTACCGATCAATATATTTTATAATACTGTTGTTTGGTATGTAGCATTTACTTGGCACCGACTTCAAAATTATAAAATAGTTACTAAATATTATTTTCTATTTAACTAAATGAAAGTGTGTATTACTTTGAACAAAGTAAATTTATTTTTTGCTTTTTAGTTTTTAGTTTACTTTTGAAGTCGGTTTTTTTTTGTTAAAAATTATTTTATTTCACCATTTTAAGTGATAGGCAGAGAAAGCTAGGATGCTTCTTAAAAGAGAAGACGACGGCTACTTGAGACCGAAAATCACAGTAACGGCAGTCCTGAGTTAGTCAGCTTTCAGTGCCGTAAATCGTTGAGGAATTCCCGCGAATGTCAATGACCTCCATTATCAGGTATACTGCAGACCTTCATTATACATAATCCATATAGGTGCAAAGTTCTCATCAATATAAATGAATTAAGTCCAAACACGAGGTAGCTACTGTAAACCGTTCAGGAGTTCCCTGAGCTGTCCATCGTTCTCAACATCAGACCCTTAATGACAGTCACGACCAATCTTGGTGCAAAGTGCTCACCAATACGAATCATTCAAGCCTAAACACAAGGCAACTATTCCAAATAATCAAGGAGATCCCTCGACTGCCTCCCGGCTCCATCATCACAATTTACTGCATAACTTCATTGTAATCCATAGAGGTGCAAAGTTTTCATTGATATAAATGAATGAAGTCCAAACACGAGGTAGTTACTGTAAACCGTTCAGGAGTTCCCTGAGCTGTCCATCGTTCTCATCATCAGACCCTTAATGACAGTCACGACCAATCTTGGTGCAAAGTACTCACCAATACGAATCATTCAAGCCCAAACACAAGGCAACTACTCCAAATAGTGAAGGAGATCCCTCAACTGTCTTCCGGCTCCATCATCAGGTCGGGTTCGAACATCGGCTAGTTGTAAATTTGTCAAAAGCCTACTAAAACCATATGCAAAAGCACAACTCGCCCCTATAATTTTTGAAAGTTCCCCTCGATTTCTCTGGTCTTCCATCATCAGATCCTGATTTCCTTATCATGGGACCATTCTGGGACTATCTCCTTTCCAATAAAAAAAGAATTATCAAAATCGGTTCATAAATAACGGAGATATCGGCGAACAAACATAAAAAAAAAAGCATATATACGGTCGAATTGAGAACCTCCTCCTTTTTTGGAAGTCGGTTAAAAATGGAGTTGTTTCTGAAGAAACGATTACATAGATTTTTTATGTTATGGGTCGGCAAACGAGCATACCGATTACCTGATGGAAAGCAATCAGCGGCGCCCATGGACTGTCGTAGTACCAAAGGAGTTGAAGTGCGTTGCCGGTTTTTTGTGAGTTATTCGGGGTTGAGTATGGGGAAGGGGAAAGAATTGGTCTCCAGTAACCACACTCACACTGCGAAACATCGTAAGTTTTGCTTTACGCCGGTTTCTCTATGTACCGTAAAACGGGGTGAATAGATGTTGGCAAATTTTCCTAGTATCTATTTACCACTCGAATTCTATTCAACCCGTTTTACCCTGTGGTTTTACCGTTACCTACATAAAAAAATAAAATGTTGGCTGGTCTAATCAACGAACAAATTTAAAGTGCAGTCATAAAAATTAGAAAAGTAAACGAAGCATGGCGCAAGGATGGTTATACTTTTACGCAAATGTTTTTTTATTAGATAGTACTAAAAGGGCAGATTCATTACTTGATGGTGAGCAATCAGCGCCAGCAATGGTGACATCAACAAAGCAGGAGTTACGAGTGCGCTGCCGACCTGTTGACGATTGGGGTTTGGACCTTGGTTACCTCACTCAGCTTGGTTATTTCACGCCAGTTTTTCGAAGGCCGTGGATCACTCCATTCGTGCTGAAGCATGGCTCTCCCACACTTAAAGCCTAAAACTGGTACGAAATTGACTTGCATAACATGAAAGAAATGGGATCCAACTATAATTTTATTAGATAGGTACTTCGTCAGCCGGGGTTGTGTCAAGAAGGCACCGCGGCCTCGGCCAAAAGCAGTAGACGGAATGGAGGGGTTTTTAGTCAAAAAGAGTGATACTCCTTGCCTGTCCACCTCACCCTGGGCGGAAGAAGTAATTTGATGATTTTAAACACAAAAAAATACCCAAACGAATGAAACGAATACGAAATGGACCCACATTTTTTGTTTTGTGGTTAATCTTATCAAAGTAACTTGTCTTCTGTAATATTTAATTAGGGAAATTAAGAAAATGGCAATGTTTTCGAATTATGTACATAAAACATACTAAAGGTTCGATTATTATGTTGATGACCGTGCAGAAAAACATTAGTTAAGACCTTAAATGGTGGATTAAAGCATTTCAAATGGGAAAATTGGGCGGTTTTCAAATTATACGTAGGTAGTCTGGAGGGTTAAGAAAGAAGAAATAAACTTTAGCTCGATAAAATTGCACCTACTCATTATGTAAAAACAAAATAAAATAAGAATTGAGTTCGCTTAAATTAAATTGGTGATTAGTGCGATTTGCTTTACTTTAAGCCGATCGATGCGTTTATGATGCTCGGAACTCTGATCGACCTGTTTCACGTTATCAACCAATCACGAATGCTAAACGCTGTAACATTTCTGTCAGTTAAAGCAAACCCTTTACCCTTATTTCATGCTTTAGGACATCATTTGTATACCAACTAAAATGAAAAAATACGACATTCTCACTCGTGAAGACTTATTTAGCTGATTGATAGACAGTGTGGGTATCACCTTGGTAGAATTCTGACATCGGTATGTAAGTAGACAACACAAAACTTATATATGCCTAAGTTAAAATAAGGTAATCCTGGCCGCTGGTCCCGTAGCCCTGGGTCGGTAAAACGCTTCGGTGTCGTTTTTGTTAGTGCCACTCGGAGGACAGGGTGGAGGATACGTGGTCCTACTTGAGCTGAGCAATGTTATGTCCTCAAGTAAGTGATCGGCGCCGGCAACATCTCGCGTCCAACTTTAGTCGAGGCCACGGTGCGGGGCGAGCGTCACTGTTTCGCAGAAATAGGAGGGCGTTCCAGTTCCTCTCGCCAAATGCCTTCTCTCGCCCCAGCCGCTGCAGTAATAGACACTCCGGGCGTCGAGGGTCGTGTGACAATCTCCGGCCAACGTAGGCGCGCGGGTCTGCGGGCGGCGGGCAAGGCCGCCCAACCAGTACCTACCAGACCCGAGCTCAAAGAACCAATAAACCATTAAAAATATATTTTTTTATAAACTTATAATTTAAAAAAACCCCGACAAAAATTATCTAATAATTTAAAAAAAAAACGTGGCGTTGGGGGACTGATCAAAATATTTTATTAATATCTACTTCATATTTCTATTTCGTCGGGGGTCTATTTTTTTTTTATACTTTTTATATGTATTTTATATCATTTTCTCTCGATTAAGTCATCAACATTCCCTTTCAGTGCGCTTTCATTTAAGACCCCACTCAAGTACATTTGCAGACCTTCGGTTACCCTTCCCCACTTACCCCCCATAACTTTTAAACGGCTCAACCGATTTTGGTCAAACATGTCTAATAAAGTAATGACACTCGCATGTAAGTCACCTTTAATACAAAAAACAAACTAAATTGAAATCGCTTCATCTGTTCAGGCTCCAGAATGCCACAGACAGACAGACAGACACGTCAAAATTTCTCTTTTCCCATCGGGGGTTAAAATAGGGCCCAACAGAGCCGATCCTCAGCCGGTGTACCAGCGCAATAGGGTATCGCGGCCAAGAAACTAGGTGGTTTTTAGAATGATGCTCCCTTTCGCCTCAGCCTGGGCGAGAGAAATAATATCATGATTTCCGATAAAAAAAACGGTTGTAATGGTGACAATTACTCGGTGCGTATGTAGTGATAAAAAACAATGTGTGATTATAGATGTAAGTAGTTTACGTACGAAATGCAGCTGATGGAACGCTCAGGGCCGTCTTTTTAGGAAGGAAAGTTATTGTCTTCTCGTGCCTAGGTTATGGCGAGAGGGATTATCAGACTTACTGACTTAAATCCCCCCCGTTTCTTCTCCTACTCAAGGCCGAAGCCGCTGTACCATATTACCTACGCTTGACTCGCAACCCTGGCTGAGCTTCGACCTGTTCGTCTCGTCCGTCTGTCCCGTCTGTGGTGGTCCCTATAAAAATAGTAAACACTTAATATATTGTTTTGACGATTTACGTAGGGCTACTGTAACTGTAGACATGCTTTGTTTTATAATAACTATAAAAGTTATTTAACTAAAACCATTTTTTATTTATTTCTTTAAAATGTGTGACTGAAATCAATCTCCAAAAGCCGGAAATGAGCTACTAACTCCTCTGATGCTCGTATTCCTGTTGTGTTCGCTGTTACCGCAGCGGTAAGAACCTCTTTGAGGAATGAATAGAAAGACGTAACGGCGTCCTAACTTTCCGCCTGACGCTGATGCAGCTGCGGTGCGGTGGGCACTTAAGCACAGCACATGCCTAGTTTCGGATTCACCGGGAGGAAACGCTCGAGTATCATCACTGCGAGGACCGCCTGATTAAAGCATACGACAGTACGGATTCAGCGGTAGCAAAACTCACGGGCGACGACCACATCATTCTGAGGACATCTCTCCGGCTACGGTGGCTAGTTAAAGGAACTGGGAAGCTGTTAACTATTATTTGTGAAGCTGTAATGGTCGCAAAGCAGGAGGTGGAGCAAATGAGACTAGAATACGACCTCCCAGGGCGAGGGTGACGACGCAGGTTATGCCGCGTCAAACGTCTTTAATAGCCATCAGGCCACCTCAGGTAGGGCCAGCTTTAAATGACGGGTGCAAGCCCAACTATGTACCGCGGCTCCGGCTCGAAACAAGAGAAGGAACGAAATGGTTTCTTGCAAGATTCATAAACTCCTTGCCTCATCTAGAGCGGGTTTGCTTGGGTGATGTATCTGATCGTATCACATAAGCTAATCTTGAAAGACTTAAAGAAATAGTTGCTTATAATGAATGCGTAGATTAAGGCGCCCGCTCCTTATGCATTTTTTTTTGTCAGGGGAAAATCATCAAATGATTTCTCCCTCCCAGGGGGGAGGGAGTGTTAGACTCTTACTGACTAAAAACCCCCCTGTTCCTTCTCCTGCTCTGGGCCGAGGTCGCGGTGCCTCATTGCGCTTACCCCGCAACCCCGGCTGGACATCAGCCCTTTAGGGCCCCGTCTGTGGTGGTCTGTTGGCTCTTTGAGGCGCGCGCGGAATTACCTATGCATGAGGGTGCGGGTACTAAACCTTGCTGCAAGTACCAATGCCACTTTTCGAGTATATTAATATTATAAAGAGGTAAATGTTGTAAGTTTGTAAGTAGGGGGTAATCTTTGGAACCGCTAGTCGGATTGCCAAAACTCTTGTCAAACTTAATAGATAGCTACAATGTTCCTGAGTGCTATAGGCTATAAAACATCACGCTACGATGGATCAAATGGAGCCGAACAGCGGATGAAACCGCGGGAGAGTAGCTAGTACTTTCTAAGATTGATAAACACTCATATACTGAAAAGAAAAAGTTTGGAGGGATACCTTTATTTTATAAAAATATCATCAAATTACTGCTTTCGGCCAATGGGCGAAAGGGAGAAGGTAGACTGCATATTTATAATGAATACGTTTTTGATCAGTTACAATTTGAAATGATTTCAGAAATGAAAATCAAAATGCATATCACTTTCGTTATTATATTATACCCATTAATATTCTTATTCTTGATGTTTTCGTCAGCTATTATCAGACTCTTATTGATTAAGAAGTGTGTGAAATGGTGTATGCGCTTGCCCCGCAAACCCGGGAAAACGTGAACTTACAATTTCTTGTTATAATTTTGATAACTTTGTAATCACTAGTCCGCCTTGAGTACCTAAGCGTGGCGATGACTTGTCTGTGTGAGAAGAGGCTTTTGCTCAGCAATAGGCACTTATAAACTGATTATGTCTATGAAGTTCGAATCAACTTAAAACCCATTTCAAAGAGGATTTTAGGATAAAACCTAATTAAGTCTTTTGATTTCAGACACTTATTATATTTTATTATGTGCCCCACGCCACACCCAAGCTTTTAATCAATAGGCTTTCATATTTACCTATGTCGACAACTTTAATTGTTGTGTGACACAACAAGAATTATTGGAATTATTTTTTTATGTACGTTACTTTTATTTCTGCCAAGGTCACTTCCACACAAAAGTAGGGTTATGAATATTAAGTTCATCTTTAGGTACGATTTTCAGATACCTATTGTAATCAGCTGCCGTGCAAAGTGTCGCAGATACGATTCCCCAACAACCCTTCTGTGTATTTACAAATTGTTGTTCATGTGCTATGTTGTGTTCGTGTGTCTACACGACACAGGAAACAATACGGTTGTTCCCAACTAGTCAAATTCAATACTTTTATCGAAATGTCAAAAACGATACTTTTCTATGGTATGAAAAACTGAGGTGTGACGTCATAGTATTTTTGCGTCAAATAACTTACTTATTTCTTAATAATTACCTATAAAATATCTAAAACTTACTGTATCGATCAATCGATAAATAAAAGTATAGTTATTTTGAAATATTTTATTGTATTGAAACATCGAATTAATTTATCTTTGACCTAGGAAACTACCCAATTGTACAAGTGTGTGTAGCTGTGTAGCAACATTTTAAGGTTTTCAAATGGACTAGGAGTAAGTATGCTCTCTATTTCTTGTCTGAAAAATTATTATGATTCTTAAAAATATGTTTGAGATTCGACAAAGTCTAACCACTTAGGTAACTTATAAGTGTAGGTAGGTATATATTTTTTTATTTATTGCAGCCTGCTACTCGATGCGTGTAAAATGACCTAAAGGGTTTGTAAATGGTTTAAAATAAAATGACGTTTTTTTAATTTTTTGTAAACAATTGTTTATTATTAACATTTTATTTCTCGTTTGCATCCACTGCAATAATTACACTTCGTCACATACACTCGCTGGCAAATTTATCACCGCATTAGCAACACAATATGACTTTTATTCTGTTAGAATCTATTTATGGAATTATCGGTTACAGCTTTCTTTCACATGAAGATTTCTTTCATTTTTCTTTTGAAACATCTATGTGAATATACCAAAAGGTAACATTATTATACTAAGATAGATAACAGATAATTGTACTTTGTCCACACGGACGAAACATAGAACAATTAAGATAATCACTGGTTTCACATGCAAAATAAACAATAATAAGAAAATAGCGAAATTAAACATTAAGATTTATAGATAAGGCTACTTAGCTTAGAAATGGAATGATTTGAAATTTTATCTTTCAGTATACTCACACATACAGCCACAAATACATTCATGATTTATTAAAATGTGTCCAAAATATCATTTTCAAGTCAATGTACATCAGTCAATTGTAAACTTAAGCTCAAAAAATAATTAAACAATGATTTTGTTCATAAAATTAAAGAAATTCACAATAATTATAATGGTTGTAATAAATAAATTAAAAATACTGTCATTTTAATGTTCGGAATGGAAATCATAATTTTGAATTATAATATCATAACGAAATATTCTCAAAAAGAAAAATGAAAGGTTCACTGTGATCAATTAAGTACAAAAATTATGATTCTATTTTTAGTACATTTGGATGTTCATTATTTCCTCATAATTTAAACTTATTTGTCATCTTAAAAAATTAAATACAAGAGAATTATTATTGATCATCAGTCTATTCATATTTTTACAATTTTGTCGATTTAACCTTTTTAATCTACGTTCGAGTGCAAAAGGCAACATAGGAGGTGATATAACCTATAACTTGCCGCGTAATGAGTACGCGGCTTTTATAAAATTGTAATTTAACATAAATTATTTCATGAAGTCGGTTCGTGGTCGAGCGTCGACACAGTCTGCCGGCGTGTGTGGCCGCTCGAGTGGGAACCCAAACACAACATCGAGGCCTGTACGTATCAAATAAATAAGTTAAAACAAGCAAGTATCGTGTCCTATGTTGCCTAATGACGCATTTTATATTGTCTCAGTACTCTTATAAGTAATGGAGAATATACTTACAAAACTAAAACTTACTTTTTTATACACAATGACTTAGGTTTCGACAATTTGTTTGTATAAGTACTGCAGTAATTTTAACCTATGGACTAAGTTAGGTGCGTGAACATTTGTGTGGCGCGACCGCGACTTGTACGAGCTGCATGTTGGCCATACAGCTTGTAGAAATGGCGCTCACAGTCTCAGGAACGTTACATTATCGTGCTAACTGAACTACATCCCGAGTACAGAAGTTATGAGAGACAGAGAAAAAAATCTACGTCGATTTTCAAGAAAACCTGAACAAGATTTTTTGTGTGGGGTAATTCACTATCATAATCATAGGAACAAATGACAACAATTAGTCAATCACAAAATATAAATCAATGTAAAACTGATGAACGCATCATTCGCGTTATTATTATTTTTTTATAAATTAGTCTAATCTTATTTTACGCACGGTTTGGCTTCTATACTGGTGCGAGTCTAGAGGGATAGTGTTAGTGGTGTGTGGTGTTCATGTAGCGACACTGCACGCGCTCGGTACTACTGCCTGCTCGATGGAGAGTGGTCGAGAGTGATCGAGAGTGATCGAGAGTGATCGAGAGTGATCGAGAGTGATCGAGAGTGGTCGAGAGTGAGCGGTGCAGTGGCGCGGCATGATGCGGCGTCGCGCAGCGGACCGAGCTACGGGACGCAGCACACGTTACCTATACTTGGGACTTGAACATTTTGTAAACAGTTTAAACTAGCAAAAGGCTATCGAGGACTATATATAAAAATGAAGAGGATCTAGAATTTATACAAAAATGTTAACATTTTCTAAATTTAGATTAAACATTTAAACTATGTACAAAATGTCCTCGGGCCAAGTGTACAGAGATCGCGACGTGGACAAGTCCACCGGCCCCTCGGCTCGCGCGGTCCTCGCGGCGGCCGCTCGACGCTTGGCGGCGCCACTGTCGCCACGACGCTCGCCGATCAGGGGCGGAAAAAACGCGATCCGTCCCGCCAATACTATTTACAGGGGCGTACGAATCGCTCTCTTAAATAAATACTTCGGAACGCTTATAACTAGACGTTTATACAGGGTCACTTTACACTTTACGCTATATTTACACGCGGCGCACAGCCTGTTTCGCACGAGCGTCCGTTGTGAATAAATAAGTTAGTGTTGTCCATTGACGCACTCAGTATCACTACACTTGTGTCGCGTACGTCGGCGGCAAGCAATGGTCGTCTAACACGTACACCCCTCCGCCTTCTAGCGCTCGCTTCACTAGCGACGTATCGCTGTAACAATAGAAACACTCAGGTTAGACACGTTGCCGAAATTATTAATAAAATGAGATTTAAATATGAGAAAGTATATTGAGAACTGTGGTGTATTAAGAAATGCGTTGAGAGTATGTGAGTACTGACCTATTAGCGCAGTAGGCGGAGTCCCCGGAGAGGCGCGACAGTCGCGGGTCGAGCGCGGCCAGCAGCCTCGCGCTCTCGGTGTTGAGCGTCTTGCGCTTGCACTCCTCGGCGGCCGCGTTGTGCGCGTTCTGGCACTCGGGCGCGGGCGCGTCGCACTTGCCCCACGTGTTGCGGATGACGTGTCCGCCCGCGTTGGCCGCGTTCTGCGCGCGCGCCTCCGCGTCGGCGGCCCGCAGCGCGCGCGCGCGGCGCCGGCGCAGGCAGACGATGGCCAGCACCGCGCCCAGCGCCGCCAGCGGCACGGCCGCCGTCACGCCCGCGATCCACGCCACCTGCGGGCCCGACAGCGCCTCGTCGCCGCGCTCGTCGCCCACGCGCCGCAGATGCCCGCCCGCCTGCTTCGACACCAGCTCCGCCAGCGACACGGTGCACGACTTACCGCCCCAGCCCGGGGCGCACGTGCAGTGGTAGCTGTCCACGCGGTCCCTACACGTGCCTCCGTTCCGACACGGTGAAGACGAGCACTCGTCGATGTCGATGCTGCAGTCTTTGCCGGCGAACCCGGGTCTACACCGACACTGGTAGTCGTTGTCCAAGATCTTGCATTCTCCTCCGTTCGCGCAGGGTTTAGCGAGGCACAAGTTCACTCTGGTCTCGCAGCGCGAGCCCACGAAGCCGGGTGCGCACTGGCAGCGCTGGCCATTGACGAGGTCGACGCAAGTGCCGCCGTGTTCACAGGTGATGCCCGCGCAGTCGTCGATGTCGATCTCACAGCGGTTCCCGCGGAATCCGGCGCGACAGGTGCACTTAAAGCCGTCGCCAGCGCGCGAGCAGGTGGCCCCGTTGCGGCAGGGCCCCGCGGCGCAGGGGTCGGCCTCGAGCGCGCAGTCTGCGCCGGCGTAGCCCACGGGGCACTCGCACACGTAGCCGGCGCCGCGCGGCTCGCAGACGCCGCCGTTGCGACAGGGCCGGTCGGAGCACGTGAGGCGCCGGGTCTCGCAGCGCGCGCCCTCGTACCCCGGAGGACAGGCGCACACCATCTCGCCGCCCTCGTCGGGCACGCAGGCGCCCCCGTTGAGGCAGGGCCGCTCCGAGCATGAATGCAGCGACTTCTCGCAGTTGGGCCCGGTGTACTCGGGCGGGCACATACACGTGTAGCTGCCCTGGCCGGTGTTGTGGCAGGTGCCCCCGTGGCGGCAGGGGCGATGGTTGGTGCAGTAGTTGAGGTCCTGGTTGCAGAACAGGCCGCCCCAGCCCTCCTGGCAGATGCAGTCCCAGGGCCGCATGCAGGTGCCGTGCATGCAGCCCGGGTGCCGCTCGCACTGGTCGCACAGCTCGCCCACCCAGCCCGAATGGCAGCTGGAACGCAACGACAACATTCGTTAGTACACAATGCGACGTGATAACAAGCGACAAAAAGCATGTCTTTCTTCTCGTGGGGAACAATGAGGAGGATGAATGATTTAGTCGGAGGGAGGTAACGTGAGCGTTTAGCACAAAGGTGTGAAGTGGGTACTCACATGCATTCGTCGGGCTTGAGGCAGTGGCCGTGCTCAGCGTCGCAGCCGGGCAAGCACCGCGCTGCAACAAAACAATACATTCGTTAGCACAAAGACAAAGCACTCACGACGGAGCCAAGCGCTAATGGACTTCTTTAATTGTAGAGGAAGCAGGAGCGTTTAATCATCGGGAGGATATTCGATTCCCGCGCGGTATCTCGCATTAACGTTGGAATCTGTGAGCCGTTTAGCTGTAAAGGACACGGCGAGTGCAACAAAGAGAGAGGTTCGTTAGCGTCCCGGCCGGGGGCGAGGTCGCGCGCACACACTATTTATCTTCACTCGCACCACCTCGCAACTACAACGAAATCCTCTTTGAACTTTATAACCTGCATTAAATTAAAATTTTCACTATAATTTCGCGTGCAACAGCAATTTAGTTACGTCGGGGACCATGTCTTCAGGGATTTCTAATTATAATACGGGACAATTATACCAGAACGTTCTGTGTGTTGGCTATAAATTTTCATCATTAACTTTGTATGTAGCTGTACAAACTACTGTTTGCACATCCAACTTTACCCTGTTTTCATGTAACGGTAGTTTCGGAGTGTTCATTTTATATCACAGAATTCATTGCTGCATGTGTTACTGGCAAGAAAGTATTTGGTAAACAGTAAAACAGTAATGTATCGCAGATGTTAAGAAAAATAGTTTTGAAATAAGAAGTGCGGTGCGAGTCGTATCGGTCGGGTGCGCATGGGCAAGTTATCGGAGCGAATACAAAGGGGGGCAGATAGCGCGGGGAGCCTAACCGTCGCTCGACCGTTACTATTCCCCTAACTCGCTAGAAAAATACTAGACGCCATCTTGATCATAACTTTCATTCCCTATCCAAATGCAAATGTGGACGGGCTTATTCCGGTTCTAAATTGGACGAGGAAGCAATTTCAGCGAAGCTCCAACTATACCGCGGAGTCGGGGAGCTATTTTGTGAGCTTAGAGACGGTCGGGAGCTGCATAAAAGAGATTAGCCTTCGCACCGCGCTCCCTAGACTCCATTATAGGTTTAAACACAGCCGAGCGAGCATAAAGCCCCCAAACTTGCTCGGAGAGCGCGCAAATCGGCTTAAGCCGCACTCCGGCGAATTGGTTAGCTCACTCACGCGGGTATTTCTATTATCATTGCTGCAATGAATCTTTTAACTGTTGAGAAAATTCAAAATATAAGCTGCTTTCACGTACGTTTCACACTTTCGCAATAAATATAAAATGTTATTCGAAACAATCGCTTCTCATGACCTCCGGTGGGCCATTACAATGAATTATTAATAAAACTTTATGAGGAACATAAGAGACGAAGAAAAAGTAAGTCGGGCGCCGCGCTCGCTCCGCCAGAGCAGATCAAAGAGCTCGAGTGCCGGTGTTTGTGCGCCGTCCTACTCCAGACCCACTCGAACTTATCTTGACCCTCGAACTAAGGTAAAACGGTAGTAAAAATTACACTCCAAAACCAATTTAGATCGTAAGTGGGCACGAAGAAGCCGCGGGGAGGATGTTACGGCGCGCTCCTGCAGACCTATTAATTATTATCGATGGACATGAATAGTATCGATTTCTAATGAAAGGCTAGCGTGCGCCGCACTGCGACCAAGGTCTCAGCCAAAGCCCCGGCCTTCGCCGAGGACAGGTAGGACAACAAAAACGACAATTTTGGCCCTGACACTTCCCACACGTGTTCAGCAAATATTTGAGTGATCCTACATCTGCTCCTATCCCAAACGGAAATTAGGAGCGCGTGGGATTCGCAATACAACACAGAAGGTAATATTCGTGAGAACTTTACTCTTGCTAATAATTAGGCGAAATTAAGCGGCCATAAAGGTTCCTCTCGCGATATTTACCCTATCATTAAGCAGGAGAGCTGGACGGCGGATAATGCAGCCGGGACATGCAAATAAGTTTTCGGGATTGTTAAGCTTTCCCAGAAGGCAAGATACCGTTCGGCAGATGTGAGCCAGCTTTCGTGACACGGTCAAGTACAGAGTTTATTTCGATTGGTGTTCAGTTCTCGTTTAAAGGTGTTTTTGACCCGGTTCGTGGCATCTGTGTAGCGGCCCGCGAGCGCGGGGCTGTGTGCGTGCGCGAACCTACTGCGTTGTTTTCATTACATTATGGCCGCTTCTCTCGCTTTTACATTTTCGTAATCGCCGATACAAACTCCGCTGATAGGGTTGCCGAGACTTTTATTGCCATACGTTTGTGTAACATACGACCGTTTACATGCGCGATATTGTCACTTTCACAGGGTCCATATAAAATTACACTTTTTTTTGTTGTTATTGATTTGGGATGATTCAGATGTCGATCGTGCCGGGTTGTCGTCTGTTTACTTTTTCCAGAAAATTGTGATTTCGTGGTTATGGAGTCGCGTGGAGGCTGTATCAGGCGGGCACAGCCCTGGCGCGGGAGCGGGACGGCGCGCTACAGAGAGCGGGGCGCTGCGTCTCTGTCTGGCGCGTTTTTTGCGGCGCCGGAGTGTGGGAACGCGGCGGCAGGTGGGGCTGCCGAGATTGCGACGCGACATCCGCCCGCCGCCCGGCCACAATGCATCTCGCCAAGACGCACAGCTTTGTTTCACAATACGACTCGCTATGTGCTTAACATACGCCAGGACGTCGTAATGACGTGATGTTAGTATTTTATTAGAAATCCACAAGATCGACAGGTAAAAGCAAGCGGACATTGATTGCTAGCGAGCGGTGCGTCCGTTGCTTTTGTTTACAAACGCATCATGCGCGATGGAACGCAAACAGTGCGCCGCGAGGACGGTCACACGCTACCAATATACTATGACGGCTGAGCATTACATTAATATCGCGACACACCACTGTCTTCTATCAATACCGTGGCTATTCCAATATTGGAACTGAATTCCACCGTCGTAAAGGCCAGTCTAGTTTGATCAACTGTCCAAGTAAACGATTGTCTAAATATCTGTAATTAATGCTACGATATTCGCTATTTAAGATGAAGAATGTTATTAATGTTAAGATTTGTCAGTTTTTGTATCAATGAGAAATATTTTTAAATGGTGTTTTTCACATCGTATGAATGGGTAGTTTGATTACATTTGATTTAACAATTCCATTGTGAACTGGTCGGAATATAATAAAAAAATCAAATCAAAACGCTAATTAGCGTTAACTAGGATTTTTAATGTGCCATTACGAAGGAAATTAATTTAATACAGGAAATTAATTTCGTTCGTAGGTACGTCAAAAAATATCTCAACAATTACGTATACACATAACTAATAAAGTTATGTTACGAATTGTTGTTTATTAATAAGATAATGCCCGCCTGTAATTACCATCAAACTATTCTTTATATTAGCTATTTTACAACGTCAAGACCTAACACAAAAAATATGCGATTAAAATTATGAGTCGTTTGCTTGGAGGTCGGCCGATGGCACGGGAAGTGAATATAACCTTATAAATAATGTGAATAAACTAATAGTGATATGGGACTAATTAAAAATACGATTTACGACTTTGGAGCTTCGAGATAATTAGTGTCATTACTATTCGCATGCTGGTATTAAAAACAACAATAAAAAAAACACACATGGAGGTCGCTGACAGCTGTCAAAACTGACATTAGAAAATACCAACATTTCCCGCCTTATTGAGAATTTTATGGTTTATAGGTTATGTTTAAAGTTGTTCTTACTCGTACTTAAACCAACATAGTTAAATTAACGACATTTAAGTTAATATTGGTTGAATTCCACGTCGTTTAGTTCAAAGGATGTCGTTTTAAATTTATCTTTTTTTACAAAAAGCACCTACGTAAGTTTGCCCACAGGTTCAGACATAATTAAAAGAAAACAGATTTCCTTCCAGTAAGATCGCTAATTACATCAATTATAATGTTCCTTGACATTTTATATCGTGCGGACGTCGTCTTGTACTTTAGTTTTTTTTACAAAAAAAAAAGACAGGGTGTGTCACATTTTCATGTTACATCATTATAACGTTCCTGTGGCGGTCACAATTATAATGTTTATGAGAGGATGTCAGGCTAAAAATTGTCGTTACTTTAATGAGGAAGAGTGAATTGTGGGTCGTTCTATATGTATAATAAACTGGGATATCGGAAATTTAGGACACCATGGGTGATACTCCGTCACGCATGGTATCCGAGTTTATCTTTAATTTACAATAATCAAGGCCCCTTATTTATTTAGAAGAGGTGAATCAGCCTGATTTCTTACGAAATTCAGGTTGGCACGGAATTAGGCCTACCTACTAATCTATTTCGTTTTCAACTATTTTTATCGATGTAGTGAAATATATTTTTAGTTTATTGTTCGTTTTTATGTTACTAGGCATGTTTACACACGAAACTAGCACGATTGGAAGACTGACAGGTAAAGTTCGAATACAAAAGACGTGGACACATTTGAATTACTTTTCTTTGTCAATGAACACAATGATTTAAGATTTGTGGCTATTGATTTTTACATGTAATAATGGACGGTTGGATTCTGATTGTAGTTAAGTACCTAGAATAACAATGTGCGTATGGTCCCTAATGGGTACCACGCTGGCATTTTGAGATCTTATTGTTAAGAATAATATGGAACTTACGTTTCGAGCAATAGTCTCCGGTCCAGCCAGGCTTGCAGACAATGCCTCCTGATGGTGAACAGGTGTAATGTCCGAAGGCATCGTCTCTTGGCCTGCACAGCACTTCGCACCCTGCGCCGTAGTAATGAGCCGCACATGTCACCCTGTACGACAGCTTCAGATGAGCAGAGCCGGGTCCCCCCCACCGTTGTTCTTCTTCTATCCATGGGCCCCCCACATCCGCAACGCTTTGTTTCGTCATTCGCGCGATAAGGGTATCTGAAACGAAGAACATATAAATGAATATTTTGTAAAGTATTACAACAAGAAAATGTTCTAGAAGTGGACGGTAATATTGAACTTTAACGTAAGATACCTCTTTACATGCAAGTAACGCGACCTAACATTGCTAACGACTGCCATAATGACGTCACGGCGCAGCAAAAAATCAGCAGTTGCACAAGCTCGTTAATAGCATGGCATCAGGTGGGCCAGCCTATTAGACCTCTTTATGAATAATTGAAACAAACGATCGCGCTTCACTATGCTAGGAATCCGTCTGTCTAGTCTATGAATTTTAAAGTTTTTAAAGGTGCGGAATATTGGCAGCCTGCATTTTCGGGAGCAGCCACCGCGCAGGTGCAATGTGCAAATAAACTCGTTTCCCAATTTGCTACATCTGCTCCAAATTAACGGGACAATTTTAATTAATAAAAATACGGGTAAAGACACAAATATTTGTTTATCACCGTGGGAAAGGGTTACAGAAGTAAATTGACCTGTTAACGTAGAGCGTTTGAAGCCCGCATTCGACCGTGAGATTTCATTGTTCCCAAGCGTGATTCACTGTTTTGATTCGTCGCCGGCGCCGGTGTGATTGATTAATAGTTTTAACTACATTCTTTATGTAACATATTACTTGTAAACCACACATAAGTACAACGTTTAAGTAAGAAAAAGTAGCTGGACGGCTGCGAGCGAGCCGAGCTAACATTACATAAGTGACGAGCAAAAAGTGGTCTGTGAAAACTACCCACTGCATTGATTTGAAAAACTGCCACTCCATTCATCAAACCACGTAAGTGCTGACTCCGCTGTAGGGCTGCCCTTATCGCTATCATCACGAAAACAAAACAAAAGCAACCAAACAGAGAATCCACCAACTTATTTAATTTAGTAATTTCGAAATAGGTGGGAAAAAATACAAAACGTTCAAACACAAACCCCGAAACAATTTGGACTATCAAATTAAAGTTCTATACAAGGAATAAACACGAGTCATCGTGGTGAGAAAACATTTTTTGTGAGTCGTCCGCCGTCCGTCCTAGTTTGGACAGTTAACGCGGCAGCCCTAGCTAAGAAATCTCAGCGTCGACCAGTTTCTACCTTTATTTATTTCTCGTCGTGTATGCCCACTTTTTAGTCTTGTTGCTTCGATGGGTACATTCCTAAGCCGGTAATCCCGACAGCAGATAAAATTAAACCAGACGCGAAATAAAATTAAAAGGTATATAAAAACGTTCGATCCCGACTAATTTCGTGGCGTATGGTGTGGAAGTGTTCCTTTTGTTTCGATGCAAGAAACTTCTCCGATGGCAACGAGAGAGATGCAGGTATCGGTGATCTGCAGTGAGCTTAGAGAGCCGAGTGCACCGAGTATTCATATAGGAAAGCAGGTCACAGGTCACTGACACATCCTTGTGTGCAGTCCTTGCTATGTTCGCGGATGCGCGCGTAACCGCTGTGGTATGTGGATTGTTTTCAGGAACGCTCAATAATGCTAAATGTAATGAAACACTCTAAACATCCTAACGGCGGCGGCAGCGTGTTGACATTGGAACACATCCCGATATACCCGCCGCCAGTCACATACAGCCAATAAATTACATGAAACCCACATTATCCAGACATCCAGTGCACCGCCGTAAGTATAAACAAATCAAAAATAAAACTGTTCTTACAAACTTTCAAGTCGCGGAATATCATAATGACATTGGACGTTGTCACGACATTTACTTGGCGAATATGGCGCAAAGAATACAAATTCAATTTTCATATAAATATCATGGAAACGATTATTGCGTCGACATCGCTAGTATAAAGCATAGCGCACACGATTTACCGGTCCCGTGTAGGCTTACAAAGATCGTATCTGTACAATAAATCTAGAAGATAAAACGCGTATGCTACGCCGGTTGTGTACCTAACGAAAATACAATCAGACGAGAGCTATCAATTTATTTCGATCGGGTCTTTCATTCCGATTAAATATTATGAAGTTTATTCCACTCAACACTCATCAATTTTATCGTCTCGAATTCTATACGTGGAGAGCGTGAGTAAAAGTTTAATTTAAACGATAACTGCTGTGTGTTCTCTGCTTAAATGGACAAAGAAATTATGAAAGCAAGTGTGTGCAGTTCGGAGGAAATTAGAAAAGTGATGTGTGGGAACTGCGCGCCGACCGCTTGCAATTTACCTCCAATGTGCACGAGAATTATGGCAACCGTGCGCCCAGCCACCGGTGCAGCAGGGCTGTCCGGAGACACAGCCGCAACTATATCCGACCGTCCCTACTTCGTACTCCACCAAAACAAAAACGAAACTATCCAAGTTTTCTGAACAAATTGGATACTTATAAAGAAACATAATTAGGTCCCCTTACCAACCCTACAAGATTCGGTTCGGCAGGCAATTTGTAGGAAAATTGCGTCTGTACAACGTTTTTGTGTTCTATCCGAGACGTCAGAGTTCGGTTCTCCAGAAACAACCGAACAAATTACAGACATCATCCTAATTCAACGGCGTAACGATATTAAATGAAGGTGTACCCGACTATCGGATCTATTAATGTAATTCCAATTCACAAATAAATAACACATTTAAAGAAGGACGAGGCAGCATCGGTACGTGCCCGCCGCCGCTGCGCCAGATAACGTGTAATTATGGCCCCAGAGGTCACTACAAATAAAACGAAAATTTATCGGAACAGCAAACGCTAATAAACAAAAACAAAAGAAAGCGAAATAACCGATAATTTGAGTCGGCTGCGCTATCGGAGGCGGACGCAAGCGATTTGGGATGTTTCAAAACGCGATTTTGGGGAAGCGCGGGGGATGCGCGATCACGCGACGCTTCCGCTGCTGTGATCGATCGATCGATAATGAGGCCACCGGACATTGGCTACTCGCTCATTTTACATGTAGGATGTAGCCAGCCTGACAGCTCCTAGCGCGACTAAATCGCGAACTATCTAATTAGCGGTCGGTGGGCGGTTTCGAACGAAATCGAAACCGCGACGTCGAGCGGTGTTGACGCGCGAAGGTTCGACGACCGTTTTCCGCAGGTGAGGCCCACATCATTAAGCGATGTGTCGATTTCCACTCGTCTCGATTCGGACACCTGCCCGGGCCGGTCGGCCGCGGCCGCGCGCCCGCCGCGCCGCCGCCGCTGTGGGAAACTACATCTCATCAATGGGCCTGTCTACACAAACGACGCGCCACTTTTGTTTATAAAACTGTCCACTTCTAACACTCAAAGAATATTTCGATACGACAAGTGCGTCTCAGCGACGTCGCCTCTTGCACTCAATAAATAACTCATCCACTCAAACGTCAAGAGACTCGATAAGCCAAATTAAAAATTTCTCAATGTTATTTAAAGAGGTTTCGCGTAAATACATTCAAGAACGGTTCGCAATTTAAAGTTGCCATTGTTCAGTGAGAAGATATGGACAGTTTCGTTCCGCGCGGAGGATTCGTTGAATGTGAAGGATTGCGCAATGTGGTCCTTACATTTCCAGACGGCTGACGTGGTGCTTAACCTTCGTGAAAGCCAATTAACGAGGCGACTAATCATAGCCGGGACGCGAGAGTCCTGGGAACCGCGCACGGGCCGCACCACTCGCTTCAGTAATGAATTGACTAATAATGCACGGCCGGATAGCGAGATAAGCAGCCGTCACAACATAACTGTATCGATAATCGCATCTCGGTCGTGTAATGTCAGCCGGCGAGCGGTAGCCGGGCCCGGGGCGGCTCACCGGCCCGCGCCAGTAATTGCCTCTACGAATCTCTTATCGATACATTTCACACGCTCTTTTTCTCGATTTCGCCTATATGGTCTAGTAAAACTAAGTAGTGCAATAATCGTAAACAGTGCGGCCGACAGGGCGGTAGTGTAAACAAGAGCGCAGGACGAGACATTAGGAGTGTGCCCACCTATTATCCGAGAGCATGTGCCGAGCATCTGTCGACAGCGCTTCCTGAGAGCCACCGCGCCTGCTACATCATAAATCGAACCTTCCGGAGCGTCTTCCTGATATTTTTTATCATGTTCAAGCCCTACGACGACGAAAGATGAAGTGTAAACTAAAAAATTCCCTGACTTCCCTCGGAGGTGTATTTTTTAGCATCCAGTAAGTAAACAATACCGCGCGGCGGCCCGTTACAGCGGACCAGGTGCGGCTCGGCTTGCCTCGGGCGCTACACAAAAGATTTCGGTGAAGGAGCCGAGCGACAACATCAGGATTGCCAGAGACCATTGTTGTGTACTTATTTGTTTAGCACAAGAATCTCTTTATTCGCTGTGAGCGAGCGCTGCTCAATGCGCCGCGTGTTTATCTATGATATATTGGATTCTTAGACGCGTGGGTCGCCATTCTTCGTGTCTTCTGCATAAAAATTGAATGCACCGAAGGGTCGCGACAATGAATTAGCTACGTACAACGGTCGCTTTCTAAGTCAATGCAGCTGCTCAGTTTGGATATTAGATAAAAAACCGAATGTGATTTAATTAAGCATTAGCCCGGTGAGTCGATAGTGAGTGAACACAAACGGCGTGCGTGTAACCTGTTATTATGCTTGATTAGATTTCTGTTGGTAACATTTCTCGGTAGTGAAGCGGCGCCGCCCATCGCTCCCGAGCCGTATTAAAAATATACCCGTCCTCTAAGCTATCCACTTCGGACGCTAATGATTTTCGGTAAACCGGCCCGTAGACACACCTCACCGTATCTCTAAATCTCCTAAGTAAATCACCCGAGTTTTTTGTTAGTCGGTCAGGAGTAGTAATTATGTCGGTCAGAGTGCAGCGCGGTATGAAAATCTAATTAAGAAATGGGCGTCGCTGGTCAGTTTTCGCGTCCGCCATTTTAATAATTTTGAAAATCGAATCAGGCGTGTTCGTTTTTGTTTCGGCCGGCATCAAAACACTGAGGAGTGTTTTGTTTTTCGTGTAGCGATGTAGCAGGCAGGAGTTGTGTAGCGGCGCGCGGCGCGACGTAGCGATGCACGCGGCGTATTATCACGATGATGTATTTACGACCCGGCCGGTTACAATTCATTCGGAATCGTTTTTTCGGTCACGCCACGTCGCATGTAAGACATAAACTGTCGATTCTTTATTGGGCGTTTAGGCTTCTCGTGATATCAAACGGAACGAGCAAAACTTACCCAATCGATTATTATAAATGATAACGATCTAAAATTATATTCGAGCACATGGCATGACTTAAACGCGACTTTGTGGCTAAGATGGCGTGTCAAAACCGAATGTTTTCATAGAAAATGTTGTTTAAACAAAGTAGGTAACCAATTTGCCTATATTCCTTAAGTAATGTACGTAGTGCGACGTCTAGGTGCCGGTCAACGGCCATCGGAATACATTAGAACATTTCTACTAAATTTTCGTCCTACAGAAGGCTGAGTTTATTAGAATAGCGCGCGCATTGCGACGCGAATCACGCGCATCGCCGCGTGCTTTGAACACCAATCGTCTACACCATGGGAACATTTTTGTCTTCCACGATATGATAATATGAGCATTCAAATATACATACTGTCCGTTAAATGCACGATAAACACCCAGAATTACAGTGAAACCTGAATGTGAGTGAGTCGTGACGACGTGATTTGAATTTTACAAGGCGGACGAAGATTTTCATGACCCTTCTTATCATAATCGTATTATAAGGAGAACGGAGGACTTACCATCAGATCTCGACGTCTCATTGGTGTCGTGCCAAGCTTCCACAATAAGCGTGAATGTGCCCTGCAACATAAAGGAGCGTGTCACATTATTGCATTACAAACACGCTGACAAGATAAGCATCAAAATATCTACAAGTGCTCGATAAAGGAAGTGAAACTCGAACAGTAATGACAATTCTCCTGTTCAATATGGCGTTAACAATTTTATTCCACCTGTCCTTTTAAAAACTTTCACGTTACTTCATTTCCTTCGTGTTCACACTTTATTTACCCCCACATGATGTATGTGGTAACCGCATCGTTCAGTGATTCACGCGTCAGCCGCAAACCCTACCAAAATAATCGGCATAGGTACAGGTACCATCATCTCGGAGAACAAGACCTTTAAACATGGGCGCGGCAGTTGAGAATTTCAAATATTTCCTTTACTTTACGACAATGTTAATAGCCAACGAGTGTAAATTAACAACATGATAGACAGGTGAAGCCGGGAGCAGATGGTAGCGAAATTGTTTCAATATCATGCTAAAAATAATACAAACGCAATAAGGCAATGACGCTGGCTCGCTCTACTAACGAGTGTACTGCCTACATCGAATGATCCCGTGGTGAACGTGCACCTATAAAAAATACGAACGAGTGCGTATCTGATATCGAGCTATTGACATTAGTCCATGTTTACACAACGAGGCGAAACGGCAGTCGAAAATCGATTAAAAACTTGATAACGTTACATGTCAACAGCTTTGGGGCGCCTGCGACGGAACTTATCAATGGGTTTTTTGTCAAGTTCCGTTCATGCAAAAATGTACGAGTCTCGGCTTATGAAATTTCTCCCACCGCGGACGGAACCGGTCGCCGGTTGCCGGTCAAACACTCGATCCCGGCGATACTCAGCCCGCTCGTGTTCCCGACCTTTGCTTCTCTAATCGCTGTTTAATTACGCTACGGATGCGAGTTATCGATGAACAATTTTCGGTTTAATATTGAAACGAAAATACAACTGTTCATTGCAGATTAATACATTGCAACGGACAAATAAAACGTAGTCGTAAAAAATTGAAACATTGAAGGTGAGTGGAAACGCGACCTACTTCTATGACACACAGATCGAATTTAAAACGTCTTTAACTGTGTTCACGTATCGGTTGGACAACTATGATATTCGATATTAGGAAATATTTAGTGAGGCGATTTGGAACTGTCGACATGAAACAAATAAAGTAGAGAAAGAAGTAAAGCTAGACTATAGAGTGTCATTAAAGACGAACACGGACGCGAGGGAATCTCTGAAGCTGGATTATAATTAAAATAAGCATGTGACGGGTCGCCTGCGCAGCTGCGCGCGCGCCGGATACGAAGGGTCACCGCTTAACTAATACCTCATTTGATCGCCAGCACCTACTTTAACGAGTGATTCAGTTTTTCCGGACAGATGTCGCCAGTCTTCAATTAAGCTCTATGAATGAAAACAGTATTTGCATGCACGAACAATGGTCTCTATTTGCATAGGAACTGATACCACGTCTCTAACGAACAATGATTATTGTCGGCTGATGGAAATCAATACGAGAAATCTGACGTTTCACAACGCACGACGACGCGTCACAAAAAACCGAACGCTTTTTCCAACACTTTTTAAAAAGATGAGATTTCAATTAAACTTTCGTTACGTACACGGTTTTGACGAATTTATAATATGTTACGTTAAATACTTAGACGATACAAGCGGACGTGTCACTCGTCCCTGTGAATACTAAGCAGACGGGCCCGCCGACTGAACGAATTTGAGCCTTAAACGATACAAAATCACCTCAATCACACATCAAAAAGTAGATTTTCCAATATAAGGAGTGAAAGACGCTTGTCAAAATACTTTATTATGATTTGTGTTGCATGCACCCGATCAAATATGGCAAGTCGTAGTATACGCCGTATTGATTTGTTAATCGAGTATGGAGAACGCATTTCGGTCAGCTGTGGCCGGTCGTAAGTATATGCCGGTTCCCACGACAGTGACTCTCGAGCCAGCCCATAAAAAGCGGCCGACGTAAGCGTACGTGTGCAGGTAGCCTTTATAAACGTGTCGAGTTGGCGATACCGTATACTTATACAACAAGTTGTTGAGTCTCAGTGCCTAGACTTTGCTGGCAATTAAGGAAACGTATTAGCCCGTGCAAAGCTCCCCTTATTTGTGCTAATTTAATCTGTCGTCACAATTCGTTGCAGTTTGTGTTCCAATTCCGAAATATTAAAGCAATGCTGGCCATCAAAGACGCGTTAATTATCACCGTTCCAAATTTGAACGTGTTCTTTTTTTATTAAAAAACATATCAGGCTGAGATCGCAGCGTATCGAGACACATTAATTTTATCCCTCGAAAGCGATGCGTTAAATTGTATTACGGAGTATAGGAACTCGGACGAATAGACTGATATCACGGTATGAATGCTGGGGAATCATTTGATAATCGTTTTATGGGGGTGCCTGAAGAGGCTACTTCCATATCGGAGCTCGTTTCGACGTTACTTTGTTATTAATTAAGGAATCCATCGAAAGGATACGTGGGAACAGAGCTCAAGTTTTGTGCTTCTTATTTGTTAGCGCCATGTGTTTGGGATTTTGTAGAACAAAAGGTATAATCAGGTGTCCGGTGAAAAGGACCTCTGTTTGGACCACGCCACGTGTTTGGGCCACTATTGTTCTGTTTATTGTTTAAGTGATATTAAGTCGTTTTGAAATGGCAACAGATGTTTCTCTTGTTTGTTGGTTTTGGCTATAGCTTAATGAGCTTAAAGACACAAAAAATGTGAAAGACTACGGGTTTCTCACCGCCGTGTTTAACATAAACTCGGCTAGGTACCGCTTCAATAAATTGGAACAAGGTCACCCTACGATTGGTTTCGGTCAAAAGTGTACAATATCGGAAGTATTTATATAAAACATTACAAAAAGACATTACCGTAGTTCGCTTTCGAGTATCGTTTCGACACGAGAAAATATTTGGAACACAAACACCCGGGCAAGTGGAAGAGTCGTGATTTCATATTTCACACTTTGCCAGTGTGGTAACATCGCTTTGGACAGGTTTTTTTTTTCACTTAAAACCCCGACCAAGTTTTGTTTCGGCCAGTATCTCAGAATCGATTGTTAGCGCACTGCAATAAGGTTTCATATCCGACGATTGACTGAATCGATTTGTAAATGAAACATTGCCTTGTTGATATGTAGACAGAACGAAGAGTTGCCCCGTACAATACGTCAAATTAAAAAAGATATGCAAATTCAAGTCCGTCCGATAAATATGGAACGCGTAACTTGTTTTATTATTACGAGCGTTCCGAGCGCATTTATTTATTAATGCTTTTAATTAACTTTATCTCCTTCTATTTTGGCAGCGACGAATGTGAGGATCGTTGACCCGATGATGAATCATTTGATACTTATTAGGAAGTTTTCTTGTATAATAAAAATGCTTTTAAGTCTTGTTAGGATTGTGCAATAAATATAATATACACCGTGTGAACGGGAGACTTCCTGTACAAATATTCTCTAAGAAAAAAATCAGGTCGACAGTTTATTGGCGACTTGGAGTACGTACACATGCATTCTGTTAGAATGTTAAGCAGTTTCGTGTAAAGTCAAGTAACTGAGCGAGGCACTGAGCCTCTACTACGCTGCCGAGTCGCGAGGCCACCTCCGCGAAACTATTTTAGCAGTACAGCGCACTCCTCAACGCGTCCGGTTAATCCTTGTTGGTGTACGGACACGTCTGCGCAAGCGCATATAGACAAAAGCGAGACGTTCTCAAAGCAACAGCGACCTCGTAGCTCATGTGAACACACCAAGTTCCAAATAAATTGTTTAACGAGAGAAATCCTTTGTTTGTATTCGAAAATTGTACGCTTAAAAATTAAGAGGAACTGACTTGAATGTAGTAGATCTACTTATCATTTTTTCAAAAGCAATATGATTCTAATGTTATATGAGTTTGGAACAGTTCCAAACGAACTAACGAAAGATTTATGATTTTATACTTAACGTGTGAATTCATAAACATTTTAGTGTTATAACAGTCAGAATTATGTCTCGGGACATCATCTTTCATCTAATAACATACTGTATCTCTTTATTAGAAACTCCATCGTTTACAAGATAATTTAAAAACAAATATGAATACGCAAGATCATCAAGTGAGCATAAATAACTCACAAACTGCAAAACGGTCATGAGATCATTTACATTTACCTCGAGACGCGTCAATTAACAAATCTTTACGTCCAGCCAGGTACGACATAAAATGTTCAACCAATTAAAAGCGTTAAACATTTTCACACGCCAATCATAAATAATAACCATTAAATTGATGCTATAATAAAGTTCCAGTGTTGCCCACTAAACCCGAGAAAGTAAACACTGATGTGACCACACTCGAAAAATTAACCGAGTGTTTAGTACATTATGGAAGGATTAATTACTTCAGCCCGCTTTACCGGGAAACATTAAAAAGTCGAAAAGCCAGTCGTAACTCAAACGAAATGTTATACTTTATATCTGTGACGATTATTTTACGAAATGCAGCTAGAAAACATTAAGACAGACCGTAACTACTTTTTTTACCGCTAACGACCGGTTCAGCCCGGTACACGACACACGAAATAAGTCAGACATTAACAATTTATTGCCCTCAATTACAATCATCGCGAAAAAAGACACTCGCCCAAGGAATTCGGGACTTTGAATCGGGGCCGAAGTGAAAAAGGGTACCCTTATTTTCACATGGCATCGACGGTATTCGGCGACGGACGGGACCTCGGCCCGCCGCTGGAGAATTCCAAAAATGAAAATGTCGGCTATAAACAACAGAACGATTTGAATGAAGCATAAGAATTAAAAAATAAAGAATCAAGTTAACAAATTTTGTGAGACATCCACGCTCGGCCCGGCTCTCCGCGGTGATCTGATAAGGCCCTGAGAAGGGTTCTCGCCGTTGAAACCGAAACCGCACTAAAAACAAATAATCTTGTGATCGGTTCATCCGGATTTTATCCGAGAGTGACG